CCACTAAACCTAACCCACTACACCACTACCATCTCACCTACTCCACTAAACCTAACCCACTACACCACTACCATCTCACCTACTCCACTAAACCTAACCCACTACACCACTACCATCTCACCTACTCCACTAAACCTAACCCACTACACCACTACCATCTCACCTACTCCACTAAACCTAACCCACTACACCACTACCATCTCACCTACTCCACTAAACCTAACCCACTACACCACTACCATCTCACCTACTCCACTAAACCTAACCCACTACACCACTACCATCTCACCTACTCCACTAAACCTAACCCACTACACCACTACCATCTCACCTACTCCACTAAACCTAACCCACTACACCACTACCATCTCACCTACTCCACTAAACCTAACCCACTACACCACTACCATCTCACCTACTCCACTAAACCTAACCCACTACACCACTACCATCTCACCTACTCCACTAAACCTAACCCACTACACCACTACCATCTCACCTACTCCACTAAACCTAACCCACTACACCACTACCATCTCACCTACTCCACTAAACCTAACCCACTACACCACTACCATCTCACCTACTCCACTAAACCTAACCCACTACACCACTACCATCTCACCTACTCCACTAAACCTAACCCACTACACCACTACCATCTCACCTACTCCACTAAACCTAACCCACTACACCACTACCATCTCACCTACTCCACTAAACCTAACCCACTACACCACTACCATCTCACCTACTCCACTAAACCTAACCCACTACACCACTACCATCTCACCTACTCCACTAAACCTAACCCACTACACCACTACCATCTCACCTACTCCACTAAACCTAACCCACTACACCACTACCATCTCACCTACTCCACTAAACCTAACCCACTACACCACTACCATCTCACCTACTCCACTAAACCTAACCCACTACACCACTACCATCTCACCTACTCCACTAAACCTAACCCACTACACCACTACCATCTCACCTACTCCACTAAACCTAACCCACTACACCACTACCATCTCACCTACTCCACTAAACCTAACCCACTACACCACTACCATCTCACCTACTCCACTAAACCTAACCCACTACACCACTACCATCTCACCTACTCCACTAAACCTAACCCACTACACCACTACCATCTCACCTACTCCACTAAACCTAACCCACTACACCACTACCATCTCACCTACTCCACTAAACCTAACCCACTACACCACTACCATCTCACCTACTCCACTAAACCTAACCCACTACACCACTACCATCTCACCTACTCCACTAAACCTAACCCACTACACCACTACCATCTCACCTACTCCACTAAACCTAACCCACTACACCACTACCATCTCACCTACTCCACTAAACCTAACCCACTACACCACTACCATCTCACCTACTCCACTAAACCTAACCCACTACACCACTACCATCTCACCTACTCCACTAAACCTAACCCACTACACCACTACCATCTCACCTACTCCACTAAACCTAACCCACTACACCACTACCATCTCACCTACTCCACTAAACCTAACCCACTACACCACTACCATCTCACCTACTCCACTAAACCTAACCCACTACACCACTACCATCTCACCTACTCCACTAAACCTAACCCACTACACCACTACCATCTCACCTACTCCACTAAACCTAACCCACTACACCACTACCATCTCACCTACTCCACTAAACCTAACCCACTACACCACTACCATCTCACCTACTCCACTAAACCTAACCCACTACACCACTACCATCTCACCTACTCCACTAAACCTAACCCACTACACCACTACCATCTCACCTACTCCACTAAACCTAACCCACTACACCACTACCATCTCACCTACTCCACTAAACCTAACCCACTACACCACTACCATCTCACCTACTCCACTAAACCTAACCCACTACACCACTACCATCTCACCTACTCCACTAAACCTAACCCACTACACCACTACCATCTCACCTACTCCACTAAACCTAACCCACTACACCACTACCATCTCACCTACTCCACTAAACCTAACCCACTACACCACTACCATCTCACCTACTCCACTAAACCTAACCCACTACACCACTACCATCTCACCTACTCCACTAAACCTAACCCACTACACCACTACCATCTCACCTACTCCACTAAACCTAACCCACTACACCACTACCATCTCACCTACTCCACTAAACCTAACCCACTACACCACTACCATCTCACCTACTCCACTAAACCTAACCCACTACACCACTACCATCTCACCTACTCCACTAAACCTAACCCACTACACCACTACCATCTCACCTACTCCACTAAACCTAACCCACTACACCACTACCATCTCACCTACTCCACTAAACCTAACCCACTACACCACTACCATCTCACCTACTCCACTAAACCTAACCCACTACACCACTACCATCTCACCTACTCCACTAAACCTAACCCACTACACCACTACCATCTCACCTACTCCACTAAACCTAACCCACTACACCACTACCATCTCACCTACTCCACTAAACCTAACCCACTACACCACTACCATCTCACCTACTCCACTAAACCTAACCCACTACACCACTACCATCTCACCTACTCCACTAAACCTAACCCACTACACCACTACCATCTCACCTACTCCACTAAACCTAACCCACTACACCACTACCATCTCACCTACTCCACTAAACCTAACCCACTACACCACTACCATCTCACCTACTCCACTAAACCTAACCCACTACACCACTACCATCTCACCTACTCCACTAAACCTAACCCACTACACCACTACCATCTCACCTACTCCACTAAACCTAACCCACTACACCACTACCATCTCACCTACTCCACTAAACCTAACCCACTACACCACTACCATCTCACCTACTCCACTAAACCTAACCCACTACACCACTACCATCTCACCTACTCCACTAAACCTAACCCACTACACCACTACCATCTCACCTACTCCACTAAACCTAACCCACTACACCACTACCATCTCACCTACTCCACTAAACCTAACCCACTACACCACTACCATCTCACCTACTCCACTAAACCTAACCCACTACACCACTACCATCTCACCTACTCCACTAAACCTAACCCACTACACCACTACCATCTCACCTACTCCACTAAACCTAACCCACTACACCACTACCATCTCACCTACTCCACTAAACCTAACCCACTACACCACTACCATCTCACCTACTCCACTAAACCTAACCCACTACACCACTACCATCTCACCTACTCCACTAAACCTAACCCACTACACCACTACCATCTCACCTACTCCACTAAACCTAACCCACTACACCACTACCATCTCACCTACTCCACTAAACCTAACCCACTACACCACTACCATCTCACCTACTCCACTAAACCTAACCCACTACACCACTACCATCTCACCTACTCCACTAAACCTAACCCACTACACCACTACCATCTCACCTACTCCACTAAACCTAACCCACTACACCACTACCATCTCACCTACTCCACTAAACCTAACCCACTACACCACTACCATCTCACCTACTCCACTAAACCTAACCCACTACACCACTACCATCTCACCTACTCCACTAAACCTAACCCACTACACCACTACCATCTCACCTACTCCACTAAACCTAACCCACTACACCACTACCATCTCACCTACTCCACTAAACCTAACCCACTACACCACTACCATCTCACCTACTCCACTAAACCTAACCCACTACACCACTACCATCTCACCTACTCCACTAAACCTAACCCACTACACCACTACCATCTCACCTACTCCACTAAACCTAACCCACTACACCACTACCATCTCACCTACTCCACTAAACCTAACCCACTACACCACTACCATCTCACCTACTCCACTAAACCTAACCCACTACACCACTACCATCTCACCTACTCCACTAAACCTAACCCACTACACCACTACCATCTCACCTACTCCACTAAACCTAACCCACTACACCACTACCATCTCACCTACTCCACTAAACCTAACCCACTACACCACTACCATCTCACCTACTCCACTAAACCTAACCCACTACACCACTACCATCTCACCTACTCCACTAAACCTAACCCACTACACCACTACCATCTCACCTACTCCACTAAACCTAACCCACTACACCACTACCATCTCACCTACTCCACTAAACCTAACCCACTACACCACTACCATCTCACCTACTCCACTAAACCTAACCCACTACACCACTACCATCTCACCTACTCCACTAAACCTAACCCACTACACCACTACCATCTCACCTACTCCACTAAACCTAACCCACTACACCACTACCATCTCACCTACTCCACTAAACCTAACCCACTACACCACTACCATCTCACCTACTCCACTAAACCTAACCCACTACACCACTACCATCTCACCTACTCCACTAAACCTAACCCACTACACCACTACCATCTCACCTACTCCACTAAACCTAACCCACTACACCACTACCACCTCACCTACTCCACTAAACCTAACCCACTACACCACTACCACCTCCACTTCACCTACTCCTTACCTACTACACACTCACCCTCTTCTATATATAGGAATCATGAATCATTGTAATTTATATCAATAAAAATCAATCAATAATACAATTCTCTTTTTCTCTTTATACATTAAATTTTTACACTTCTTCACTTTAGGACATTTAATTGTTTCAATTATTGATTGTTCACTCATGTATCCTTTTTGTTTTTCTCTTCATCTGTTTTTGTGAAATATAAAGTGGGAATTTACATAGCATGTCAGTTTTGGAAGGATTTGACACAGTGGAATAACTGTATGAGGGAATTGGTTAGTGGAAGAAGGGCAGGGTAGTTTTTAAGTATAGCGCAAACATGTAGTGTGAAGTTCAGCAATCAATTGTATGCACAAAAAGTAAACGGCCAAGTTCAGCAATGACCTGAGTACAGCTTCATTTCCTTTCTTCACTACCATCTCATTAATTGCTCCATTTGCAACCTAAAAGGAAACCAAATGTCAACTGACGAGCTAAAAAAATAAACAACCTTTCACTTTTAAGATCAGCACCTAACTACAAAGCACATGTAGATTGGAAGCATAACTCACAGCAATGAAGTATGGCAACAGCTTTCCATCCTCATCAGTTATGGCAAAATACTTCTGGTGCTTCTGCATAACCTGCATCATTAGCAAGCATTATCAAATTTTGGCAGTATAGGTGTAGACTAGTAACGCTAATTCACAAGTATCTGATCAGATAGATGATGTTGCTCGAGGCATTGCAACAACATGGAAGGGGTTTAATCATCAAGTCCATCTCTTTATTTTATCTTTTCTTTGTTTAACTTTTACCATACAAAGTTTTAAACAAAATACAAGCTTGTTAATCTTTCTCTTTAGTATAATTTTGGACAATGCATATTTCCTCAAATATTGCAGATCTTTGAAAGGACTTAGATCCAATAAACAATTTGATAAAATATTCAAGATCAGAGTGTTGCAAGTACAGTTTCTACCGCATCAATTGACAGAAATTTAAGGCATCCAGTCACACAATTGGCTAAAAAGTTCATATCTGCTTTGCAACAGAACACAAAACAGGGAAACACAGTTAAAAGTCCTTGCAAATTGAAAATCATACCATTATTAATAGATCTTTTGGAAGCTCTAAGAATGACTCGTTAAACTTCCCCAGTACTGGAACAGGTGCCTCAACAAGATTTGCAACCTAAATTTCATAAGGGCAGATATTTTATCATTCTAGATGATAACAAAAACCACAAAAGCCAAAAACAAATATATTACCTCATCAAGTAACACACTTTGTACAACAATACATCCATTAACACCTTTTGCTAAAGCATTGGAGCGTTCCAAAATTGTTCTCTTGCGTTGCTGTAAAGGAAAACATTTTCTTTAGATATTAGGATTTTCTGCTTGACTAGGCTAATTCTCAAAATGAGAAGAAACTTGTCTTGAGGACACTGACAAGAAATGAGAGTACAGTATTATTTAGCAGTTCTTTGCTATGAAAAAATGTAGGCAATAAAGCTCCATGCAAATTACCAACCTACAAGTACAAGGGGCATACCAGCTGAAGCATCATAAATTCCAACAGATGCATTACTTTGAGCCAAATTTGCAGCCTCGAGAGAGAACTTTACCTGCTCAAGCAGATAATTAAATCAACCTGCTGCTAGTTCTATAATCATAGGTCCGTAACATATAGAATGGGGGCACTGAGGACTATATAAATATATAGGCACTCAAAACCACAAATTGGTTAGAAAAGGGTTTTTTGCCAGTTTGGCTGTTTCTGTGTTTCCTTCTAAGGGGGAGTGTTTTGAGCTTGGGTGTGTATATTGTTAGAATTTACCATAACCCACTCCACCTACCACCTCCACTACCACACACACTCACCTACTTCACCTACTTTCCTACACCTACCACACACACTCACCTACTCCCAAATCCTCTCCTATATAATAGGAAGCCTTGTAATATCAACTACACAACAAAATACATCAATCAATAATACATATATTTTTTACATGGTATCAGAGCAAGGTTGACAACCTAGTAATTCCGCTTCACCGGCGGGTGGCAGCCTCACTTTGGCCGCCCGCCGGACCTCAACCTATTCCGCTTATTTTCTACACATACTCAAACGTTCATCCCTTTGCTACATCTGCATACTCTCTCTCTTTCTTTCTCTCTCTAAAACCTCTCTCTGGCATTTTGTCTGTAAGACGCCATTTTGTCTCTCTCTGATCTCCGGCAACTAAGAAAGATACGCATTTTTTAGCACTCAAAATGGTTATGGAGCAGTATCTTCAAGAGGCTGAAGCACAAAATGAATCCGTTGAATATGGGGCTTCTGTAGAGAAGTGGAATTCTGTCTCAGCCACAGTTGATGAGTCAGAAGATAATCCTTCCATTGGTTTTGACTGCAACATTTGCCTAGACTCTGTGCAGGACCCAGTTGTCACGCTTTGCGGTCACCTCTATTGTTGGCCTTGCATTTACAAATGGATCCATTTCCAGAGTGTCTCTGCTGAAAACCCTGACCAGCAAAAACCACAATGCCCTGTATGCAAAGCCGAAGTTTCACAAAGATCCTTAGTCCCACTTTATGGCCGTGGCCAAACTGCAAAATCCTCTGAAACCAAATCCCCACATCTGGGTATAGTTGTACCACGAAGACCTCCTAGCCCTACTAGTTGCGGAGTCCACACACTGATAACAACTGCAGACACCACTAATTCTCATCCAGCACAGCAACTTCGTCATCGTAGGTCTCAGCCATATCCTTTTTTATATATATATATATATGAGTTTCTTATATTATGTATGTGTTTTCAAACACATGGGCCCACAGTTGCTAGTGTCTCCAAGAGGTTATTTATTGTTTTGTTTTAAACTTGAGCTGATTAGCACGTGGGGCAGATCAATATGGTGGCTGGTTTTCTAAATTGGTGGACTGAATTTCAGTTTTGTCTGCCATACAATACACACACAGCTGTATGATTCTTTTCTTTATTCTCCACCCACACAGCCCAACACTCTCTCTCCTCACTTTGCATCCACCGCCCAAACTTTTGTTTATAAAATTTATGGTGCACTCCTTGTTCCCCACTTTCGTTATTGTATATATATATATATATATTTTTAGTATATTATTTTTCGTTATTCAAATCTATTTTTATTATTTCTTTCTTTATTTTTCTTTCACATTATTTTTAATCTTTTTCCAATTCCATTCATACCCATATAGCTTTGCACACCAAACCATCTTTTATTCTTCTCACCGATCAACCCCGATCACAATTTTACATCATAAAAAAAAAAAAAAAAAAAAAAAAAAAAAAAAAAAACCCACACCCACAGTGGGATTTTTCTCTACTCTGCCGCCGGTCTTTTCTTCTTGCCTCCGTCCTGGGCGGCCCTTGCCGGTTTTGCCTCCGTGTTTCCCGCTCCACTGGGCACGATCACTACTCCCTGCTCCTCCACTGCAGCATATGGCGGCCCTCCAAATCGGAACATCACGGTGGCCTTCCGCTTCAGCTCCTTGTTTTCTGCCCTTAGCACGCTTATCTCTGCTCGCGCATCCTTATACATGCGTTGGAGCAGAGCCAGCTGGGAATTTAAATGCTGCACCTCATTTGTCCTACTCTGCAGCCGGTTCGAAAAATTTGTGACCGCCGTCATGCTTTCCACACATGCCTTCAAAGTATACTGATTGGCCTCCACATCCGACTGCACTGCCATTCTTTGCTCCACAGACCGCATCGGAAAGTTCAACGGAGCAAAACCAGAGGCGTTTGGTTGAGGTTCACGGGACACCGCACCAGTTCTCTCTCTCGTTGACTCGTTGAGGTCGGGAAAGAGGGTGAGCAGCCCGCGCGGAAGACGATGAAGCCATTTTCTAGGCACCAGAGTGTACACACGTATCTCTCTCAGAATTCTCTCTCAGAAAACAGATGTGTACAGAATCTCTCTCAGAAATCTCTCTCAGAATATCTCTCGTAGGTTTTTTGCCCAGCCTCAGCCTCTGTCTTATAGCCGAGGCAGCCACGCCGCATCGCGCGCCTCTTACCACCAGCCGACAAACGGGCACGCAAGCCAAAGCGCCCACGGGCCTCGCCATCATGTCCGGCACACTTTTGATAAATTGGGCACACTTTTTGATGGCACGCCTTTTTAAAAAATTGAGCGCACCTTTTGAGGATGCGATTTTTTAAGGGGTCCGACAAGACTCTGTAAACTGTCCCGACATTGATTCCGGTTAGCTCCTTTATGGGTCCGACAAGACTCTGTAAACTGTCCCGACATAGATTCCGATTAGTTTCTACAAGGGTCCGACAAGACTCTGTAAACTGTCCCGACATAGATTCCGGTTAGTTTCTACAAGGGTCCGACAAGACTCTGTAAACTGTCACATAAACTGTCCGTCAACTGTCACATAAACTGTCTTCTACAACGGTCCGACATGACCCCATAAACTGTCTTCTACATCGGTCTGACACCGCCAACAGTGCCTCTACCACGTATGTAGACACCCCCATACAGTGTCTTCACCACTGGTCTGACACGACCATACAGTGTTCTCCTATCCTTATTATATTTTTTTATGTATTTTCTTGTTTTGTTCCTCTCTTCAAACTCAAGTTGGTTAGTTTCTATCCTCCTTGAGTTTGCGGGGGGCTGTTAGAATTTACCATAACCCACTCCACCTACCACCTCCACTACCACACACACTCACCTACTTCACCTACTTTCCTACACCTACCACACACACTCACCTACTCCCAAATCCTCTCCTATATAATAGGAAGCCTTGTAATATCAACTACACAACAAAATACATCAATCAATAATACATATATTTTTTACAATTAGTTCAAGACAGTAACCAACCACGCACTATAAAAGTTTGTACTAATGACATGGAATTATGAATGTATATTATGATATTAACAAATTCACAGCGTCGAAGGAAAGATGTCACCAAATGAGGGTGTCGGACAATGAAATCCCTGAAAGCCACATGATGCAGAACGGCTATGAAGGCGGAGTTCATTCAACTATCTATTCAATCTAAAACCGGAGTGTATAGAGGATTGATCCAAAAGAGAATATCAAAAGTTACAAAGAAGAATAAGAAGAGAGAAGAATACAATGGCCAAAACCCTAATCTCACAAAAACGCCACAGCCTTTAACTCAATATCATTATCTCAAAGCTAACCTAAAACTATTACATAAAACCATATATATAGGCAATATAGGAAACCCTAATTAAAAATAGGAAACTAAATCATAACATTATCTGAAAACCTAATCTCTAATAAAATAAGTAACTAAATATATCCTAATTAAATTAACAATAAAAATAAATAAACATAAATGTAAAATTACAAAGTAAATAAAATTGCCATGTCACACTAACTAGTACAAGAAACAAAATATTTTGAAGGTTCATGTTAATATGGACATACCTTTACAGTAGCTGAAGGAGTATTCCGAAGACCATAAGATAGGTTTCCACTACAACATAATATTAGAAAATGAAGTTTTAATTATCAATGGGGAGAAAAACACTAACAGGAAACCACAACGAATACAAATACATTTTGGTCATATGCCTTAACAATCATTATTCATTAGCATAAATCAAACATATAAAAGGTAAAAACTAGCCATATTAAGTTAGTTAAATGATTCAACTACAACCTACGAGATTTATTAACGCTAAGACAATAGTTGATTAAGAATTCCTGTCTGACATGCAGTTTACAATCTATTTTATCTTTGAGAACTAACCTAAATGCTACAACCAAGGTTGCAATTGTGAATGTTACAAGGAAAATGCATAAGATCCCTAAAATATCACCCCAGGGCTTACACAAACAATAATTTAAACTTTGTTTCTGCTAACTGTTGTTCCAGCACAAAGAAACAACTGTAATAACAACAAATAAATCCTTAAAATTGTACTACTAGATAACACAAACATAGGAGGGAATATCCTATAAAAACATATAAAAGCACACACAACTGCACATCAACAGGTATGCATGCACACAGACACATTTAAGACACATGATTCTATTCACCCAAAAAAAAGACACATGATTCCTCGTCCAAACAGACAAGAGCAAACTGCACTCTCAAAGAAACTGTTAAAACCTACCATCACCTACTCCACCTACTACACTTACCACCACCTACTACCACCTACTACACACCTACCACTACCACTACCACCTACTACCACCTACTCCACTACATCTCCTATATAAGGAGCCCCTCACCATTTGTAATATACAACATTCAATCAATCAATAATACATCAGTTTTTTTACTTGGTATCAGAGCAAGGTTAAAGATCTTGGTGTTCTTCGCCTTCCGGCGGGCGGCAACCTTGCCTTGACCGCCCGCCGGATCTCAACCAATTCAAACCTTCCTCTCCCTCTTGAGTCTTGGCCGAAAGGCGTTTGAGAAACTCGTAGGTAGTGATCATGGTGGTTGCTGACATTGACATGTAAGCCCAGCGAGGTCCAAGTCCTCTGTAACAAGCCATCCATCCACCTTCTCTTACCAAATTTCGAACAGCTTGTCGCATTGTTGGTACCCCTTTACGCCCATTATTATTCTCATCTCCATCCAAAACCTGTAACCTTGTCTTGATTGTATCAAGTGGCATCGTAATCAAAGCCGAAACCCCACCTGCCATGGCTGCACTCACCCCCTGAACTGCCATTACAGTCTTCGAATCTGGTCTAAAACTGTTCCCACCATTCTCATTCCTGCACGAGTCTTTCTTGCAAAGATAACATCCAATTCCACCCCAAACAAGCCTCTGCGCAACAGAGTAGGATGCTCACCAAACTGCATTTGAAGGATCATAAGTCAGTATTGAAATCCCAAATCCTCTATACAGACCCCTCGGTCCATCCGTATTCAAAATCTTTCTAAACGCATCGAATCCACCAAATCCTTCTACACCTCACCCAGAGGCCTCACCCTCTTCACTCGATCATGGCTTCCCCTTTCCAGCTCCCCTCCACGTGGCGTCATTCTGATGGTCCACAGCTACGGCAACGACATCAGCTGGACATTCCAGTCCACCCCAATCTTCCTCGCCCAACATGGATTCGCCTGCTTCGCCCTAGATCTCGAAGGCCATAGCCAGTCCAACGGCCTCACAACCTTCCTCCCCGATGTCGATCTCGTCGTCGATGACTGTCTCAATTTCTTCAAATTCATCACTACCCAAAACCTCACCAAGAAAGACATCTTTGCACTCCTCTCTCTCGCCCCTTTCCTTTCGGCGATGGCACCTAGGCAGTATGGTTGGACAGGGTTACAGGAAGGGTTTGTCTGTCAATCTCGGCAAAAAGGGTTGCCCCGTGATGGTGACAGCAAATCACAAGGGCTCTTTCTCTCTCCTTCCTTTTCTTTTTTAATCACACCCTACCAAACGAATCTCAAGGATATCTCCAAGTGGTCTGCGAAGAAGATATTACATTCTCCAAGTGGTCTCACTTTTTATTTTTTTATTACTATTATTATTATATCAAATACTCAATGCACTCCTGTTTCCCACTCCACCTTCTTTTCCTTTTTTATATTTATTTTAATCCATCTTTTGCAAAGCAACCGAAAGTTTGCACACCCATCATCATTATTTTATTTTACCCAACTTTCTTTATTTTATATCTATATATATATATATCTCTTTTTTATTATACTATATTACCGGTTTTTAACCCCAAGGCCTGTGGGAGCTTTAATCTCCTAATCCTAATTTTCTAATTTTTTGATTTAAAAAAAAAATCTCAACATTTATTGATTTCTCCCAACCCAACCTCAGCATTTATTGATGCAATATGATATGGCCCTTGGTTGCTATGAGAAGCTGCATTAGAGAGGCCCATGTATGCTGAAGCCTACTGCAACATGGGTGTCATCTATAAGAATCGTGGAGACTTGGAATCAGCTCTTGCCTGTTATGAGAGGTTATCTACCTTTTAAGAATCATGTTTGTTTTGTGTTGGTGCTTAAAAATATTTGGTATTTGCTGATGCGATGTACGCTTTATTTTTTATTTTTGATAAGTGCCATGTATGCTTCTTGCTTGTGCTTTCTCAGGTGTCTTGCTGTGTCTCCAAACTTCGAGATTGCAAAGAACAACATGGCAATTGCATTGACAGATTTAGGAACAAAGGTAGTTTTTGAGACCATTGCTGGTGCCAAAAATAATCATCACCTAGTCACATGCTAAACTGTATTCCATAGTTACCTGCAGAACTTTTGCTATCCCTTGACAACTTTATTATTAGCTTTGGTCTATGAAGCACCGACACACTATCATCTCATGTATTATTGTCCCAGATGTCTGAGACACATACTTCCAAACATGTCACCGACTTGTGTTTGAGAAGCGAAAAATAAGTGCCGTGCTATGCTCAACATGATATGCAAAACAGGATTCGTTTTTTTATAAAACTATAGAAACAAAAGAGGGAAAACATAAACTAACACTCAGCAAGCATAAAAGAGCTTAGACTGAAAGCTTATGATTCAAAAAATCCCATTTTGAAAATTAGTAATCTCGGATCATTTCCAAATAAAAAAACTTCTAGATTCCTGAGGATGATCCTCAAAGGTACAAGAGTTGTGGCCTACCAAAGTCTAGGGAAGCTGAAGCAACTTCAACTGGCTAAGACCGATCCTATTTTCTGCAATAACTAAAAAAGAAGTGGCTAAATCAACCCCAAACAGCATTAACATCAACACTAGAACGGAAACCCAACCATGATTTCCCAACCAATTTTTTGTACCTTTATTCAGAGCATCAGAGGATGCAATATTGGGCTTCCATAACTCAAATTTGGTTCAACTTTCTCAACATAAAACTAAACTGTCTTCTACATCGGTCCGACACGATAAACTGTCTTCTACATCGGTCTGCCATAACCATACAGTCTTCTACAACGGTCTGACACGACCATACAGTGTCTCCTATCCATTTTTTATTTTTCAGATTATTTTCTTGTTTTGTTACTCTCTCCAAACTCAAGTTGGTTAGTTCCTATCCCCCTTGAGTTTGCGGGGGGCTGTTAAAACCTACCATCACCTACTCCACCTACTACACCTACCACCACCTACTACACACCTACCACTACCACCTACTACCACCTACTCCACTACATCTCCTATATAAGGAGCCCCTCACCATTTGTAATATACAACATTCAATCAATCAATAATACATCAGTTTTTTTACTGAAACAAACTAATATTCTCCTCTCATAAGAAAATCCTTCCCAAATCCAAGTGATAATCTCAACTAGCGGACCAATCCCATTTAACTGAAAGTCTATATTCTCTAACAATCCTCAACAAAAGGAATCAAAGTTCAAAGAGAAAGAAACAAAAAGTTAATATGGATGTAGGTGGTGATACTAACCTTAACACGGCAGCAAATGTAAATGGAATAACCACATCTCCATGGAGGGCCAAAACCCATCGAATTGGCCTGCTAAACATGACCTACAAAACAATATCAAGCAAACAGTACAACTTATATTCAATGAAGCATGAAAACATCAATAGATAAATAACATATAAACGAGACTAATTGGCAGAGCCATTGCATGATTGATCTGAACAACATGGGAACTGCAAAAAGCCCTTCGCAATCAAGCATCACACACCCAAACTACGTCATCAAAGTGGCACACACCTGAGAGTTCCAACGCATTGACTTCGGGAATGATATTCTAGCGATTGTAGAGGGCAAGTCCTCAGACAAAACCTAGGCAAAGTAACAAACGGTATCAGATGTAAAAGAAAACATAAGTTCACCTCTTGAGTTTAAGCATAGTCATTACTGAGTAGGATGAATATATTGCAGATAACATGGTAGAATCATGAAGTCCACAAATCCAGCAATTTTTCCAGCCAATTCAACTAGAACTATAACAGCACAGCTGAAGGTACACATTCCTAAAACCCATGTTTCCTTTCAACAATTCATTAAAAGGCACGTAAAGGGGCCGCGCGACCATAGTAGACAAAAAAATGTACCAAAAGGGAAAAATTAAGGCCCTAGACACCAAAAAAAATCTAAGTCATCTACAAAATCCAAAATGCCTCGAGGAAGGGATTAGCCACTTCAAAACAAAAACAAAACAAAAACAAAAACAAGGGGAGAAAACAGAAGATTGAGATCAATTGGCAAGAAAGCCTCCCAAAAGTAATGAAGCTTCATCAACAACACTAGCAAAAGATAATGTTTGTCAATATACCTCCAAAGCCAGTCTCGCAGACTCCACCACACGAGCGTAAACATATTCCATTTTCCCTGCAACATAAACACCAATAAACTACATTCATGTACTTTTTACACAAGAGAAATAAGTAAAATTCCTATTATGTAAAACAGATTCAAGTGCTCAGCAGTGAAGCATGTCCTACCATCATAGCTAAGTCCTTTATCCTACCAATCAACAATAACCAAGCATAATCAACAATAAGGTCACTGGGAAGTTTTTGCATGTACTTTTTGGTTGAAATTCAGAAAGAAATTGACAAAATTGCTATAAATTCCTGAAGTTAAAATATGATAACCTAAACAAGGAACAAAATACGCCTATAAATTGCTTTACTTATCAAAGAAAATGCTAAAGATCCACAACACAATTGAATGAGTAATGGTAGGTAGGTTGTTCAAGAGAGAGAACAACATGAACATTGTGTTTGTACAGGCAGCTAGATTTTTAAACAAGGAACATTGTGTTTATACCTATTCACTTATTATGCTTTGTATCTTCAGCAATATTTGTAGGTAACCTTTTCTATATACACTCACAATCCCTCTAAGCACCTCATAATAAAGGATTTTGTGTGAGTAAACACAAAGGAGTGACAAAACTAAACCCAAAGCTGCCCTAACGGGCAAATAATAAATTAATTGGGTGAACACATGTAGCAAACCAAGATCCAACCAAATCATAAATAACAAGGATTAAAGGAAGGTCCAAATCAACTAGCTCCACATTTACCTTACAATTGGAAAATATCACACCAAACCAAACCAAACCAAACCTTAAGTCCCATCAAATGGGGATATTTGCAATTGGAAAATCTTATCGTAATTTTTAATATTATAGTATCACATGCCAATTGGGTGCTCAAATAGATTCCAGATTCTAAATGGCTCAAGCATTTATTTGCATCCAACCAATTGCTAACCCAAAAGAAACAACTCCACATGCATTAAATGAATCAAGAATTTGGAGAAGAAGAAGAGCGACCAATATAACAAGATATCTAATTAACATCCCTTAAAAACATTTTTTTAATCAGCACCAGAAACAGGAAATTAAAAAGGAGAATAAAGAAAGTACAAACAAGAAGGCCACCAAGAAGAATATCCCTTTAAAACATATTCAATGAATCAATGGCTTCATATTTAAATGCTAAGTATCCAACTTTTAGAGAAAAGCAAGAAAACCACAAACAAAGACTTGGAACAAATAGAACTGAATGTTAAGTTGAGATATAGGCACTTTTTATGCATCTGCAATAATATACCTTCAACCTTTTTATACAAGGAATCCACATCCACTTGGTATCTACGACAAAATCCCTCAGCAGCCTGACAGACAGTATGAAGTTATACATTATTCCAATTCAAATTCATATCGGGTAAAAAAAGAGATACAAAAATGCTAAAACTCCCATGTAATGTGAATGAAGTGATAAATTAATATCCACACACAACAGCATATTGTGTTATTTTTGTCCAAATTACACAACAAGCCAGGCAAAAAAAGAAAATTTGCAGAAACAATCATTCAATGGAAGAAAGTTGTGCAAACCTAAGAAGGCCACTGACTTGCAGGGAACCCTGTCCACATCACGTGTGCAAAGGGTACAACCCCTTCCCAAACCCACCTTAAAAATCAGGACAGTGTCCTGACCTAACCATCCCATTGCCATCCCACAAATACTTCAGGTTCAATTCACCATAAAATGAAATTCTTAGTTATAATTTTTCAACAAAAATCATTGGATAAAAGCAAACATTACAAAGCACAATCAACAGCTTATACTTTAAAGAAGGTGAGACCTTCGTAGGATTTCCTTGATGGTCAAATGCCTTTGAAACTGGGGGCCCTCGAACCTCAACCTCATTTTCCACTTGCCTAGAGCATAGGCTCTCAACTTGAACCTGCAAATGGTAATACAACATTGCTTACTTTTTTTCTTTTTATTTTCATAGATTATAATACAACAAACCTACCAATGTCAACAAACAGATAATTGGCGTGCAAAGAACAATAAATATGGACATGTAACATAAAAATCCATCTGTATGGAAGATGGCCAAACTTTAGAACGCCCTTCAAAGAATGAGGGGGAAGAGGTGACATGCTGGTGGTAGTTCCATACAGAAGTATTATTGTTGTTATACATTCCATTTACACCTAGCACAGAACAGAATTGAAACACAATTCCTCTGAGCAAGAATAACTATTTCTCATTATTCTTTCACCACCATCATCTTGATAATTGGGGTATGATGAAAGACCTTCATTGAATTAAATTATTTTTCCTCTTTTTATCAACTATAACAATAGTAGACAGTTTCAGTGGACAAACCTTAACTACAGAGACTTTTACCATTGAGACCCTTCTAGCACCACTGAAGACCACACATACAAACAGAATAAGCAGTCCCAAATACAATCCAGTTACAGCTATGTCCAGTAAAACTCAAAATTACAAAAATAACCTTTACTTTTAAAACATGAAATAAATAAAAGTAACAAGCAGTGTTTGACACACATAAATAAAAGTAACACCCAGACATGCTTTGAACACTTGGTGGACAAACATTTCCATCGCTTATACACACACATTAGTTTGAACAAAAAAGTTTAGAAAATACAATGATAAAAGAAAATTAATATAAAGTTGCACCAATAATATTCTACATTTTTTGAAAATTGACATGTTAGCGTGTCCATACAGTGCATGTCTGTGTCTGTGCTTCTCAATAGAATAATGAACATTAAAGTGAACAGTATATTAAATAGAAACAATATATGGTAAAACTCCAGTTAAAAATATTTTTAATTAACAATATCCATAGCATTTGTGAACATTATTCCTTGTGATCATCCAGATTGGCCTCATGCTCCCATGTACATTCCAAATTGGCCTCTCCTCTTATTAGCATGTTGCACCAACTAATCATTTTATACACAAACAGTTGGTATACCGAGTGGTGGCCAACTATGATGCTCTTGGACAGACCTGACCTCAATCGAGCTGAGTCACATTTTAGAACTTGGAACAAATTAAGCTTGAACCACGGTTGCATGCTTCTGTTGCTGACAATCCAGGTTCAAACACAACGAAGCTTCACTTCAATAGAGCTTGCATATAGTTAAGGTCATGTTTGGATCATAGGATTGGAACCCCAAGGATAAGACGAAAATGGCTATGAACCTACCTCAAGAAGCAGAGGTCCTGAGTTCGAGTCCGGGGGTACCACATGTTCCTGGGCCTAGAGTCCAGTAGGATGCTCTAACAGACCGTAACACTTTTTAGCTTTGAAGTATTTCAAATAAATAAAAAGAGAGAAAAAAGAAAAGGTTCGTGGGAATAGAAAGTTTTAATGGGAAACTGAATTCAAGTCTTCTTAATTCCATTGCTTAGGCGCATTTAAGGCTTGGAAAATCATGACTAGTAATCTATATCCAAGGCAGAATGAGATTGCAGTGGGAATCTTCCTATAACCAACCCTGGAAGCCCACAATATTTACAATCTTACCATTTCCCAAAAATATCTAGACTACTGACATATGTAATGTTACATGGACTCTTTTATTTCCCCCAAAGCACCCGTGAAAAGGATGGAGAGAATTATTTGGCTTACCTATCAATGAGGTAGAGGCCATGTATGTATAATATATTCATGATACAATTTAGGAAATAATATACACAAGGAGAGATTCCTACAATCAAAATAATTCCTATTCTAATTCTTATTATAATTTCCATATTCAAACATAATATTTTGCTTCTTATATTCAACACTCCCCCTCAAGCTAGGAGTGAAGATATTCAACAAATGCACGTTGTTAATGGAAGACTGGAGCAAAGTTGCTCCTAAAGATTTTGTAAACATATCTGCCAACTGCTAAGAATAAGAAACAAAGGATGGACGCACAATGCCAGTCCAAACCTTTTCTCGAATGAAATGTATGTCAACCTCAATATGCTCGGTACACTCATGAAACACAGAATCAGAGGATAACATAATGACCGATTTGTTATCACAAAATAGAGAGGAAGGAACAGTCTCCTCAAAACCCAACTCTGCCAGAATAGAGCGAAGCCAAAGAATCTCACATGTCCCATGTGCAGATCTAGCCTACCTCTTACTTTTCCATGAGATAAAATGATCACCATAGAAAGTACAAAAGCCAAAAGTGGAACGCCGATCAGTCTTAGATCCTGCATAGTCAGCATCTGTGAAACAGGAGAGCCTAGATTGGAGACCAGCTGTAAAGAACAATCCCAATCCAGGAGAAGTCTTCAAATACCTCAAAATATGATGAACCGCGTCAAGGTGCTCTTTACGAGGTGCATGCATGGACTGACTCACAACACTAACTGCAAATGTCAAGTCAGGTCTAGTGTTGGTCAAATAAATGAGGCGTCCAACAAGACGCTAAGACATGCCTGGGTCATCTAGCAATTCACCAAACTCTGATATGAGCTTGATATTAGGATTCACAGGAGGAGAAGCAGGTTTACACCCTAACATACCAGCATCCTTAAGCAAGTCAAGTGTGTACTTTCTTTAAGACAAGGAGATCCCCTCCTTTGAGCGAGCCACCTCAATTCCCAAAAATATTTGAGATATTCCAGATCCTTAATACCAAAAGTTTGGCCCAAGTCCTTCTTACTTGGCCACTGCCGATAGAGTCATCACCTGTGAGAAAAATATCATCTACATAAACTAACAAAACTATACACTGACCTATAGAATTCCGGCGAATGAAACAAGTGTGATCTGAGTGGCACTGAACAAAGCCCATATATATAATAACATAACTGAAGCGACCAAACCATGCTCGTGGAGATGGTTTCAGACCATACAAGGATTTGCGTAACCAGCACACTTTTCCCAAATATTCCCCTCAATCCGAAAACTGGGTGGAGGAGCTATGTAAATCGTCTCAAGAAGATCCACATAAAGAAATGTATTCTTGACATCAACTTGATAAAGAGGCCAAGAATGAGATGTTGCAAGGGAGATAAGGAGATGCACAGAAGTAAGCTTGACAACAGGGACAAAAGTGGCACCAAAATCCTTGTCAGGAATTTGTGTGAAGCCTTTGGCCATCAGGCGGGGCTTTGTAACGGTCAACTGAGCCATCAGTGAGACAGTTTATGGTGAACATCCATTTGCAACCAACCGTGCTTTCCCCAAGAGGTAAAGGGACAAGATCCCAAGTGTGATTTTGTTCTAAAGTTGCCATCTCAGTCTGCATAGCTGCTACCTATTTGGGATTCTGAAGAACCTCAAAACACAAATCGAGGAATGAACTCTAACTCAAGCTTGCCAAGGAAAGAACTGTAAGAGGTGGAAACCCTACCATAGGAAAGATATTGGGAAATAGGACGATTAATACTACTCAAATAACCCAAACGATTTGGAGGATGTCGATCCCGAGGTGGGTTACGACAAAGAGGTGGAAGAGGAGCTAAAGGAGAAGAGTTACCTGACCCAGAGATCGGAGAGGCGGCAGGGGGAGCTGAGTGCGTGGGCGACAGGAGTATATTTGTAATGCGAGAGGGGGTGAAAGTTGAGAAGAAGGAGGGAGGGAGACAACCTCAATCTCAATCTTGTCCAAAATGGTCATCGGGCGAACAGTGGAAGTAACGGGCAGAGAAGTCTGCAAATGAGGGTTTGTACTAAAGAAAGTAAATCCTCTCAAAAAGTAACATCCAAAGTGTAGTGAAAGTGACGAGATATAGGGTCATAACACCTATATCTTTTGGACATGGAAGAGCACCCTAAGAAGATACAACGAATAAATTTGTCATCTAACTTTGTGCGAGTGGGACTTCGATTTTGAACAAAACAGGTACACCCAAAGAACAAGGTAAGAGTGGAAACAGAATAGTAGTGGGCATAAAGATATGAAGCAGAGTGAGACCATGCAACACACGACTAGTGGTCCTATTAATGAGCTAAACAGTAGTATACCCTGAAGAAGACACCAGACAACAGACATAATATGATGATTTTTGCGTTCAACAACACCATTTTGTTCAGGGGTCCGAGGACAAGTAAGTTGTTGAAGAATATCGATTCGATTAAAATGGAAACACAATGCATTAGAAATATATTCTCCACCATTATCAGAATGAATAGTCCTAACAACTGTATGAAATTGAGTTTTGACCATTTGTAAAAGCTGGACAAAAATGGGAAATACGTCAGACTTACGACGAAGTAGATAAACCAACGTGCACTTAGTGTGATCATCAATAAAAGTCACATAATATCTATGACTCGAAAAAGCGGTGACAGGGGAAGGCCTCAGACATCAGAATGTATAAGATCAAAAGCACTAGGAGCACGAGTCACATGAGGGATATAGTTAGTACGAGTTGTGAGAATATTATGTTAATTATGGAAATGTATTTTAGATTGATTGTGAATATTAGATTGATTGTATTTCCTATTTCAAATTAGGGTTAGGATTGTTATATATATTGGTTGTAATCTTTGTATTAGCACAAGTTGAATATATAGAATTATTCAGAAACTTACAGGGTATCAGAGCGACATCCGAAACCCTAGGTCTGGCCTTGATCATTTGAAGTCCTTCCTCTGCATCTCTGTTCTCTGATCTTCTTCACAGTCGCGACTTAGGGTTCGTGGGTCACGATCATCTTCAGTCATCATCAGCAACTCGCCATCAACTTCAGTCCCCTGCTTCGTCGCAACTCAGTCCTAGTACTTCTGGTTCGCGAACTTAGTATCGTTGTGCTTCTGATTCAAGTTGCAATCAACTTCAGCCCCCTGCTTCGTCGCGACTCAGTCCTGGTATTTCCAGTTCGCAAACTCAGTCCCTCTGGTTCGCAAACGTCATCGTTGTGCTTTCGATTTAGGTCGTGATCGTCTTCAGCCATCGTGACTCACCTCGCAATCGTCTTCAGCTATTGCGACTCCGTCATGGTCTTTTGAAGCTTCTCTGGTTTGCAATCGGTCCTAATATTGATACATATAACTAATTTGCTAGTATTTACATTTTGACCCCAAAATTTCATTGATTATTACACTTGAACTGGTTCTCTCGTGACTTGTCTTTTGCTACACGACTGGTCATCTCAGTGACTAACCCTTTTGGTTCGCATTGCAAAGCTCTTTGACTGTTCTCTGATTCGTTTTCGCTAATTGCTGAATTCTCTAGCTTCGGATGAATGTGCCTTTTGTCATCAGAAGGGCCATTGGAAGTATCACTGTCCCAAGAACGGATGTCCGTGTGGCTTGTCTTCTCAGCAATCTCAGACCCAGTTTTGTCCTTTTTCTCTGAGTAATTTTCAGTCTTCCGCCGATTCTACTGTATCTGCTCCAGCTTCTGATCTTGACTTGGCTTCCTTGAGAGCTCAGATTAATCAGCTTTAGCATACATTGTCTACCTCCCAGCCCTCCCCGTCTGCCTCTATTGTTTATTCTATTCATTCAGGTTTGTTTGGGACTTCTTCAGGTATCTCTTTGTCTGTTTGGATTTTTTTCTCTGGTGCTTCTCATCATATGACTCCCTATCTCTTCTTACTTCAAAATTGTACTCCCATTTCCTCTCCTATTAGTGTTAATGCTGCTAATGGGTCTAGTATGTCTGTTATATCTGTTGAGTCTGTCTTACCATCTGCTATGTCTGCTGTCTCTATTCCATATGTCCTTTATGTTCCTCAATTATCTATCAGTTTATTATCTATCAGTTAGCTTGATTCCTCCGGTTTTGACGTTGTCTTCTCTTCTTCTATCTATTCTATGCAGGATCGGATATCCAAGCAGCAGATTGGGACTGGCCGTAGAGTTAGAGACCTCTATGTGGTGGAGAGGCCTATGACACCCTCTACGACTGCCTTTTCCTCTTTTCAGTTAGATTCTCTGTCTAGTCCTTTCTCTTTTGACATTCTAGATTAGGACATTTGTCTGCTGACCGCTTACGGTCTTTAACTCAGTCTGGTATATTGGGTAAAGTTTCTCCTAGTAAACTTACTGCGTGTTAGGGGTGTAAACTTGCCAAAATGACAGCCTTACCTTTTCGTAAAAGTACTTTCATATCTGATATACCGTTTTCTTTAGTTCATACTGATGTTTGGGGTCCTTCTCCTGTTCTTACCAAAGGGGGTTCTGCATACTACGTGTCATTTGTTGATGACTGCACTCGTTCCACTTGGATTTATCTTATGACTCATAAGTCCGACTTCTATTAGATATACCGTACTTTTTAGTCTATGATCATTACTCAGTTTGGGTCTACAATTAAAGTGTTACGGTCTGACTTGGGTAGGGAATATCTTAAAAATGAGTTCTGTGAGTATTTGGCCAATTTGGGTACCATTCACCAAAATTTCTGTACTAATACACCTGCCTAAAATGGTCAAGCCGAGTGTAAACACCATCAACTCCTTGAGACAGCTAAGTCTCTTCTTCTCTTTACTTCAGTCCCAGCTTCATTTTGGGGAGAAGCAGTTCTTGCTGCTGCTTTTCTTCTTAACCGTATGCCTACTCCCCTTCTTTCTGGTCGATTTCCTTATGAGGCTCTGTTCTCTCAACTTCCCAATTACTCTCTCATTCGTGTGCTTGAGTCTACTTGTTTTGTCCTTCTTCCCCGCAAAGATCGAACCAAACTTAGTGCCCGGTCTGTTTATGTGTCTTTTTGGGTTATAGTCCTACTTAGAAAGGCTATCAGTGTTACGACCCTGTTTCCTATCGTCTTTATGTCTCCCATCATGTTTATTTTCTCGAACGTCTGTCTTACTTTCAGCTTCCTACCGTCACTGCTCCAGTTTCCAAAGGGGATTTGGTTCACATTAACCCATTTCCTTTTAAGGTACCGTCTGATGAGTACATTTCCACAGTTCACATTAACCCATTTCCTTTTAAGGTACCGTCTGATGAGTACATTTCCACAGTTCATCCTGAGCTTATTTCATCTTCTCCTCCTGCTTCACCTCTGGCTGCTTCTCCTCCTCCACTGTTAGTTTATTCTTGTCGCAAGGCTCCTCATCCACCAGTTGTCTCTACCCCTACTACTGATCCTCCTACTTTTGACGACTTTGATCTTGCTGCACACCAATATCTTACTCGAGCGCGTTATCCTCCAAACAGGTTGGGTTGGTCTAATACATATTTTTCTGCTTCCTATCATACTTTTTTGTCTACTATTCACTCTTTTTCAGAACCTCAGCCTTTACAAGAATGAGTTGTCTGCTTTACAGAAAACTCGTACTTGGGAGTTTGTTCCTTTGCCTACTGGTAAGAATCTAGTTGGTTGAAAATAGGTCTACAAAGTTAAGACTCATTCTGATGGTTCTCTTGAGCGCTACAAAGCTTGTTTGATTGCCAAAGGTTTCTCACAGGAGTATAGTATTGATTATGAGGAAACCTTTACTCCTGTTGCCAAGATGACTACTGTTCGTGCTTTGATCTCTGTTGCTGATGTTCATTCTCTATTACTGTTGTTCGTTCGTGCTTTGATCTCACTGAGGAGGTTTACATGCGTCCTTCCCCTAGCCTTCACCATTCCTCTAGACAGGTTTGTCGCCTTTGGCGTGCTCTGTATGGTCTGAAGCAGTCTCTTTATGCGTGATATGATCACTTTCAAACTGCTGTTATTGAGATTGAGTTTTATCCATGTGCCCAGGACTCGGCTTTATTTCTTCTCCACACCTCTACTGGATTTGCTACATTATTACTATATGTGGATGATATGATCATCACTAGTTCTAACTCTTCTGCTATATCTGAGGTCAAGCAACATTTTTTTCGCACCTTTGAAATGAAGGATCTGAGCCAATTGCGGTATTTTCTAGGTATAGAGATAGCTTCTTCTCCCAAGGGCTACTTTCTATCTCAGGCCAAGTATGCCAATGAGGTTATTCATCATGCCGGTTTTACTAACACTAAGATTTCTGATACTCTCATTGTGCTTAGTGTAAAGCTCAACACTACTGATGATGTTCTTCTGGATGATCTTACTTTGTATCGAGAGCTCGTGAGTTGCTTAGTCTATTTGACGGTTATTCGTCTTGATCTTGCCTATGTTGTTCATGTGGTTAGCCAGTTTGTCTCTGCTCCTCGCTCTACCTATTGGGCTGCTTTGGTTTGGATTCTTCGCTATCTCCGGGGCACTATATTTCAGGATTTACTGTTGTTTTCTACTTCTTCTTTGGACTTGGTAGCTTATGCTGATTCTGATTGGGCTGGTGATGTCACTGATCGCAAGTCCACTTTTGCCTTCTGCATGTTTCTTGGTGATTCCTTGATCTCTTGGGAGGTAAAGAAACAGACTATTGTCGAGTACCGTGCTATGGCTCATGCCATTGCTGAGATTATTTGGCTTCGTTGTCTCTTGACTGAGTTAGGTGTCCCTCAATCTTCTCCGACCTTCCTTTACTATGACAACCGCAGTACTATTCAGATTGTACATAATACTGTCTTTCATGAGCGAACGAAGCACATTGAGATTGATTGTCATTTTATACGTCAGAATCTGCAGTTTGGCTCCATCTCGCTTCATTTCGTCTCTTCGGCATTCCAAATTGCTGATTTCTTTATGAAGAAAGACTCATACTACTGCTTCGCTTTCAGTTTCTTCTTGGCAAACTCTCAGTATTTTCTGCTAAAACACCTTAAGTTTGAACGGGAGTGTGAGAATATTACGTTAATTATGGAAATGTATATTAGATTGATTGTGAATATTAGATTGATTGTATTTCCTATTTCAGATTAGGGTTAGAATTGCTATATATATTGGTTGTAATCTTTGTATTAGCACAAGTTGAACATATAGAATTATTCAGAAACATACAATCACAAACCACACAATGAAATTTTGAATCTTTGCAAGCTTTATTAAATGACGGAAAAAGTTAACATAAATACTAAAAATTAACATGATCCATACGAGCATACCATAATTCTAAAGTCTAAATATTAAAAACACAAGACGTAGAAGTAGGCAAAACAGAAACCTGAAAACTAGCTAAGAAAGAAGATGAAGGTTTGTCCAGTGGATCCCTAAAGTAGTACAGTCCATCACGCTCATAGCCCTTGCCAAAAATCCTCTTCAAACTCAAGTCCTTTAAATGGCAAGAAGAGGGTAAGAAGATGACAACACAATTAAATTGTTTAGTAAGACGACTGACGAATAAGAGATTATATGCAAAATTTGAAACATGTAAAACAAATGATAAAGTAATGGTACGAGATAAAGACACTACAACCTTATGATGAACAAAGGATAAAGAATCATCAGCAAGACACAAAGATTGGGCAATGGTAGTAGGGACTAGCAAAAAAAGAAAAGCAAACTCACTCATGTGATCATTAGCCCCAGAATCCAGAACCTATGAAGGACTAGTAGACTGAACAAGTAAAGCAGTAGAAGTACCTATTACAAGGGTGGCATGGCAACAGTGGTAGATGATGTGCCATAAGAACTAGTAGTAAGAGATCTAAGCTGAGCCTGAAGCTGACCAATCTGAGTCTGTAACGCTTGTAAATTAGGGATATTAGGAGACTCAGGAACAGGAATAGCCTCCACGAAAGCAACAATGCGAGGGGTGCTAGTACCACAAGGGCAAGAAGAATGTTGCCTCAACTCAAGATGCAATTTGAAGCAGCGAGCCTTAACATAACCAAAAGCATCACGATGATGACAAATTACCGGACCAGTAGAACCCCGAGAACCAGACTAGGCTGCAAAAGCCATCTGATCCGATGAAACTGGAGACAGAGGAGAAGGATTCGGCTAAACCAGACACTTATGACGCTCATCACTATCAATGGTGGCAAAGGCCTCATAGAGAGAGGACATGAGTGATGTGTCTGAGCTCAAACGGATTCAAACTCAAAGTTTAAACCTATCAAAAAATGGTAAGTGTGTTGGCGAGTAAGGCGTTTGGACACAAGAAAGGCACCATTTGTTAGTAGCCAATTCTTCCCAACGAAACACAAAAAGACCTAAGAAAGACTGGGAAGCACAAGCAATATCCTAATAGAGCTCAAAGATGCGAGCATCATTATGAGCATGAGCACACATCTGTGACAAGGCATGCCATAGATTGGGAACGGTGTCGCAATAGAGAAACATGCGATAAACATGGTCTTCCATGGAGTTGATCATCCATCCCAAAATAGTACACTTATCAACATCCCACTGTGCACGGGGTAGGATCTGTTGCAGCAAGTTGGGTAGTGAAAGATAAAAGACAATGAGCTTTTCCTTTTCCCCCTAAATAGAGTTTAAGGGAATGGCTCCAGGCGGTAAAATTTTTCCCATTCAACACTACACTCGTAATACAATGAACAGAAGTGTGATGAGAAAGAGAAAAATCAGAACTAATTGGGACAGGCTTGGTAGTATATCGGATGAAACAACAAAGGATGGATCAGTCATGGTGGGAGAAGAGAGGCTGAAAAACACACAAAGATAGCAACACAGGCCAAGAAAAAATAAGAAGCCAAAAAAAAACTCAACGACTTATCAAAATAAATGCTACTGAACAAACCCGGCAGTCCAATGAGCAAAGTAAACACAGAAAAGTGCTTACCACATCAAAACAAGAACCCTAGAAGGGTAAGAAAGGGTTAAAACTATCCAAAAGGGACAGCTGCACTAGACCCAAGCTAGAAGGGGTCTAGGTGGCACCTAAAAAACGGGTAGCATCAGTTTTGAAAGGCTGCCGAGGGGCTGGGAAGGGAGAAGGGTGGCAGTCGACTAGCGTAGAAAAAGGAGGAGGGGTTGTCGGGTGGTTGAGGAAGGAGAGAAGGGGTTGTTAGTGAGAAGAGCTGCCAAAATAGAGAGAGAGGGGTGGTGGGTGGCTAGGGTTTGGTGGCTCTGATACCAAAAAGGATGGAGAGAATTATTTGGCTTATCGATTAATAAGATACAGGCCATGTATATATAATATATTTATGATACAATTTAGGAAACAATATACACAAGGAGAGATTCCTATAATCAAAATAATTCCTATTCTAATTCTTATTCTAATTTCCATATTCAAACATAATATTTTGTTTCCTATATTCAACACCGTGTCCCACCAGATATGATAAGGGTGTGGGGATATATGTCCAACACCTATAAGCAATCTTCAATTTTTTACAATGTTTGAAGAATAAGAAACTCACATTTACTAGTAAATAAACATTTCTAGCCTCTTATATAGATGAGAGAGAAATTCTATATTTTCCCTTAATCCAATTTAATTTCAAGTACCTTTCTACATAATTTACATCTTATCTAAGAATATTATTCAATATGCAATATATATATGGCGAACCCGTGCCCAATTTAGACACTTGGAGCCTTTAATTTTATTGATATTGAAGAAGATGCTCACATTTGCTTACGAAAAAAACATTTCTAACTTCTCACACAAATGGAAGATATAAAATTTTATATTTTTCTTAAATCCATACAATTTAACTCACATTTCTGAATAGTTTACAACATCTTACCTAAGAATATTATACGATATGTAGTATATATATGTGTGTGTGGGTGTGGATGCGTTTCAAAAATGTCCTTGTACCTGTAATCGTTCCTGTACCCGAGTCCTTGCAACATTTTGACACTTGAATGACAATGATGCAAAAATCTCATTACTAGCTAAGAAACATAGACATTTCTAAGAATGTGGTACATCCGCAGACATGCTTAATATTCAGAACTAGACACATGCATATTGCTCACTTTGGGCACACCCGATTTTGAAGGAAATAAATAGTTGCTCACACTCTATACACATTAATAACCTAGGGTTCAACCAATATGTGCTTAAAATTTTTTCAATTCTTGCCTCAGCTCCGCACAACTTATTCACACCCCAAACATTACAATGAAACAGCCCATCAATGCAATGACATGACAAAATGGATTTATGTTAAACACAACAATGGATGAGGGTGTAAGCTTTCTAATTCCCATAATCAGGTCCTAAAATTACAATTAAAATAACAAGGTGAACCATGTCACTTTTTATACCAACATAATTTAAGCCAAAAAACCATCAACAAGACCAAACAGGTAGAGAAAGAATTCCATACCACTAGTCTGCGTGGTGTACCAAATGCTAGCACTTTACCATGGCTCAACCGTTGTTTTTCCAATAACAGCACGATTAGATCTTTAAGCTGCAATGGCCAGCACGATCAGCAGAAGCTGTTAGATAACAGGCAAGTACGACAACATTTTGCCATGAATACTCTACTCGAAGAGCTAAGAATCACTTAGCAACTATAGAACCAGTTGCAGTCAATCAACCCACACAGTAGACTGGTAAACAAGCACATGAAGAAAACAAACATATCTAGCCACATAAAAATTAAATACATACTTGTTGGCTTGCATTAATTACATCTGTAGGTGGCAACTCTTCTGTGCCTATTTCAAGCACAAACATCCTTGGTTCCGCAGGCACCTGTTGTGACATAAAGAACAATTATAAATTCAAACATAAGCAAAACAAAAAAATAAGTACAACTTCCCTAGGTTTTCCTATTCTTTTGATAAAAAAATGGAATGCAGCACAGAGAAGAATAAATACCTAAAGACTGGAGGACCAGGAATCTTATCCATCATGACAATGACAAGAGGAAAGGAAGAAGAAAGAAGCAGAATAGTGGCAGAAATGGCAAGGAAATTAAAAAAATGAAAAAATAGAACACAACCCCTCACAAAAATTATTCACCCAAAAAAAACCCCTCACAAAAATCTACCATCCCCTAGAATAATTTCCAGAACAGTCATATCAAGGTGGCTAATAACACTGGAAATTTTATTCCAACAATGAAACTTTAATGTAAAATTAACAAAGTGTGCAATGCAACAGTTAGGTAGCTACATTTCATTTAAAATCAAAATATTAACTGGTAAAGATATGCTAAAATTCATTGAGAGAGAGAGAGAGAGAGAGAATTTTACACATTCAAAATAGACAAAACTATGGTACAGAATGTCGTCGGACAGTTGTCAAACAATTACAACCAAAAATACAATAACTAAAAATTAACTGTAGCCACCACCTCATTTTTAAATGGATAACAACATAAGATGAGAAAAAAACAAAATAAGAATTGAATGCAGTTGTCAGAAGCAAGAACATGCCTGAACAATGACAGGCTAAGAGAAATGTATCTACAGTGGTTTAGTGATATGCAACTAGACAGGGGCAAGTAGAAGCAAGGACTAGTGATTTTAATTCAGGTTGAAGGTGCAACAAGGACAAGATGCAGATGGAAAAGAAAGTGATCGAGCCAACAAGAGAAGGTAGCATGATTCATTTACCATGGAATATGGCTGGATGGTAAAAAGATGATTGGATGAAGCCAACCTACACTAGTTGGAATTTGAGGAACTATTCAGTCACTGTTGTATGGCAAGGTAAGGTTTTGCAGTTTAATGAACCTTTAGGTCCTGAAACAAGTATTACTTTCTTTCTTATTTAATATAGGAAAGAAAACTCCACATGAAGTTCATGTTTAAGTATCCTCCCAAGTTTCTCAAGAGCATGCTGATGAAGTGAACCTAGATTCAATATTATGTAGTAATTGACAACCGAATACAGGCATATTTTGTACGACAGCATGAGAAGAGGGAGTTATTATTTTCTAAGCAAGTTGAACCAACTTCTCTGTTTAATTATAGGAATTTAATGAATTTTTAGTAAACCGAACAACCCTTTAATTTTAAATATTTTGTAAATATAAACATTACCCGGGCCCATTTGCTAATGTTTATTTTTAGATTTCCATTTACTTTGAAAAAGAAATTGAAAATTATAAACAAATGCTAGCTTGGAGTCAATTTTCAATTTCAATGAATTGTAAACCATTTAAAAATTTTACTAAATTCCGCCCATCGCTCATCACCATCACCAGGCACCACTTCCGGTTGCCCCTACACCTTTGACCACCATCGCCAGCTACCACCTTCAACAAAAAACACCTGCAATCGACAACTACCACCTGCTGACCACCATTTCTCACTGGCAATCACCACTACCTTTTGTCATAAAACCAGCGACCACTGCCTCCAGCAACCGGAAATAATGTCCACCCACACCCTTTTTCCAAAAAATATTACCCACCACCCCCACCAACGACAGATAACCACCACTCGCCACTAAATCCACCACAAAGCCATTGCAACCCCAAATTAGAATAAACAAAATGAAGAAGATTCAAAATTAAGATGAGATTTATAAATAGAGTAAGTCACAAGACCAAACAGGTAGAGAAAGAATTCCGGGGGAGAGATTAGAATTTATGATAAGGAGACGATAAAGAAAATTGTGTTCAAAAGAAGATGAAGGATTCAGAAATTCAAGAAAGAAGAGGAAGATGAAACAAGAGAAAAAGAAGAATTTAGAAGACATGATCGCCCTAAACACGTCCATACCTCAAAGGTGAAACCTAGTACCTTCGGCATGCAAACAACCTACTTGCTTCTACTTCAAAGTACATCCCCACCCTCACCACCCAATTCGAAAAACTCTAACATCCCCACCTTTACCAATTAATCTTCCCAAGAAGAAATTATCCCTCATCACTCTACCACTTCTCCCTCTCATGAAGATTTAGGTAGTTGAATTATTAGCTAGGAAACTGAACACGTCCACCTCAAAGGCAACCAAATACGTCTTTCTGTCCGACCTTGTTCCTTCGGCATGAGAAACCACCCCTTCTTCAACCTACATGCTTTTACTTCAAAGAACATATCCAACCCCCCAATTTGGAAAACTCAGTCACTCATCATTTACCAATTAATCTTCTTAATAAGAAATTATCCCTCATCCTTCTAAAACTTCTCCATCTTTCACTCCACCTCATACCAACAGAGAATCACTAATCTAAAGACAAACCTTAACCTCTTGACCAGGAGCATCTTCTTTGGGTTACCATTCCCATAGTCTCCGGATGTGAAGGTGGCCGGTGGTTGTGATGAGCAGTTAGAAGGATTGAATTTTATTTTCTAAACAAACAGAGCCAACTTCTTTGTTTAATTATAGGAATTTAATAAATTTTAGTAAACTGTCTACAATTTTTTTAAAACTAAAATACACACCGTACGAGCATTTCCGTAAAGTTTTTAAATTTTTTGCAAACATAAACATTATCCGGGCCCGTTTGATAATGTTAATTTACAGTTTTCCATCTATTTAAAAAAAAAAATTGAAAATTGTAAAGAAATGCTCGTTCGGAGTCTATTTTCCTTTTCAATGAATTGTGAACAGTTTATAAAATTTACTAAATTCCAGTAATTAAACAAAGAAGTTGGTTTTGTTTACTTTGAAAATCAAATTTCATTACGTACTCTATCTTCCACCCTTCCGACCACCACGCATCGCTTATCACCATCAAAAGCCACCACTTCCAGCTTACACCTACCTCCGACGACCCTCGCCAACGATCACCCTCAACAACAAACACATGCAATCGACAACTACCACCCGTTGACCACCACTTCTCTCCAGCAACCACCTATAAACATTACATTTTGTCACAAAACCCGTGGCCGTAGTGACCGGCAACAATGTCCCACACTCTCTTTATGGAGACCACTCATTACCCACCACCGATGACATATCACCATATCACCACACCACTCACCGATTTCTCTGCCACAAAGCCATTGCAGCCATAAATTACAGTGAAAAACATGACAAAAAACCAAAATCAAAATAAGATTCATAACTGGAGGAATTCCCGAAAAAAAAACAAAAAAAAAAAAGGAATTGAGAATCAAGAAAAGGCGAAGACATAGAAAGTACTATTCTTTCGCACAAGAAATTAGAAATTTGTAAAAAGAAGAAAAAAGAAGATAAGGATCGAAGCAAGAAAAGAATTGGTAATTCAAAAAAAGAAAAAGAACAAGAATTAAGAATACATGATCGCTTCCCTCCATACTACCGGACTTAGGCATGAGATAAGGGCCTCACTCTCATGAAGATTCATCTAGTCGGAAGTTATTAGCTAGGAAACTAAACATATTTACATAATCTTTCAATTGTTCAAATAAAATTTCTTTTTGCCCGTAAGTTTCTATAAGCACGCATGTAAAGAATTTGTTCTTTGTTCTTCCCCTTTAATATGTTCGAAAGGACGAAGATTTAAATACAGTTATTGATGTACTATAAAATGAAGTATAGTGAGGCTTAACCAAAGAATCAGTATGTCTAGGGAGAATAATAGTAGTGAAATTTCACAAGAATACACAAACTAATAAACCTGTGAGCATATGGGAGAAAAAGGGCACAAGACAAAAACAAAGCTAGCTTTCATTGCATAAGAAAACTGATAAATCAAAAAAGAAAAGGGAAATTGTTGAAAAACTGAGTTGCCCCAAGCAAACCTTTGCAACTGCTCCCTCCAGAAATTCTTTTGGACAAACAAGATGATCAGGTTCAGAAAGGATACCCAAAGGATGCCCAAGAGACTCCCTTGTCTTTAACCAAAGTTGTGCACATTGACGAGCTAAACTGGAAAAAGGAAAATGAAAATGAGAGCATAATAAACAAAGTTAAGAAACTTGGCAAACATCATAATTAAAGGTTTAAACTCTAAAGTACCCACCAGCCCAAGGAAAAATAAGAGAAGACATCATGTAGTGAGTACTTTAACACAAGCCAAAATCAACACACAAGTGAAAGCAAGAGACGGAAACCTTGACAGATGCATCACCATGTCTATTACATATGCTAATGAGTGAAAAACATCTTTACAGCAGTTTATATCTGAAAATAAGCAAGAAAGGTATAATCACCTACGCATCCGACCAAAATAACGAGCCCGTTCTGTCACCCCAACAAAGCCTCTAGAGTCTAAAATGTTAAAAGCATGAGATGTCTTTAAAAGCTGATCATACCTAGCACGTTGTAGAAGAAAACGTCAATTAAAATAAAAACTTACTCAAAAAATTTCAGGACAGCATATGATCTAAAATACAAAGGACATTAAAATTTCAAAAGCACATGTAGGCTTTTGGTTTTTTTGATAAGTAAAACATACGCAGGTATTGCAAGGCCTAAATCAAGCAAAGAACAGGCTTCTTCCTCAAAAAGATCAAAGTGTTTCTGAAGATGAGCGACACTGGCATGCTCCAGATAGTATCCACTCATTTCCTTCCTGAAAGAGAAACACATGACCAATCACCATTCTTATTTAGTAGGAACATATGAGGCAAATTCAAGCATGGGAAGCAGACACTTGGAGATAAATAAATATAACATAAAGTGCAAAAATCACAGAGCTTATGGCAACATAACAAACAACCTATCCTAAAATATTCCATTCAGTATCACAAATAAGCAAAACAAAAGGCTAAACACACAAAATAATTTTTAGTTATATACTTAGGAACAAAAAAAAAGGGACAAATTTCACTTTACCCCTTGTGGTATAGGCCATGTGCACAAAGACCACCCTGTCATTTGAAAACAATCACTTACACTCCTGTGGTCTGTGGATTATTAAGATTAAAACCACCATCACATTTTTCATCCAAATTAATGGGAAGTGCATTACACGCTAAACTCTTGTGGTTTGTGACTTAAAATTAAAAACCACCATCACATTTTTCATCCAAATTACACACGCCTATATTTCCAAATGGCATGGAGTTATGTCCACAAAGGGGTAAGGAGAAGGAATAAGTTCAGGAGAGAAAGAAGATGAGAGTTTTTAGGTTAATTTATGTGTCATTAATGAAAGTTAGCGTTGTATAATCCAAGAACCACATGGGGTTATTAAGTGGTTATTTCCAAATGACAAAGTGGTGGTATGTGCACACAAGTATCACAGGGGGATAAAGTGAAATTTGCCCCCAAAAAATTATACTAGTTTTTTTTTTATCAACAACAAAAGCTTTATTGATAAATCAAAAAATGAATAGAGGATAAGGTATCCTCTTACAACAGGACAATGAGAATACAAACACAAAAACCCCTAACAAGCTAAACACAAGCAAAAGCCTACATAACACACACCGCCAACCAATCTCTAGCTAACAAAAAAAGTGAGACTCCTTTAAATAAAGAGTTCCCCGACGCCCAAAAAGAAGATAAGTGACAAACATGATCCCACAAACAGCCCACCTCCCGGAACTTATCTTCAAACAACCTCTGATTTCGCTCCATCCATAGAACCCAAAAAGTTGCAAAAACGGCACAAAACCATAGAATTTTGGCTCTCTTCGATCCTCTGAATGTCCGAAAATCAACTAGGAGCATATGCACACTCCCTTTTGGGGACAGATAAAGAGCCCAAACCCTCTTGTCCTCTAAAAGAGGAGATAAAGAAAAGTGGTCAATTCTGGATAATAGAGAAATCAACTATGAAGCCTCCCTATCATTAAGATTCCTAGAAAAATCAAAATTCCAAGAAATTAGAGCCAAAAGTGAGCAAGCCATGGAAGAGCCCAAACTCTCTTGTCCTCCAAAAGAGGAGATAAAGAAAAGTGATCAATTATGGATAATAAATAAATCAACTATGAAGCCTCCCTATCATTAAGATTCCTAGAAAAATCAAAATTTCAGGAAATTGGAGCCAAAAGTGAGCAAGCCATGGAAGCAATTGAAGAATTATGAGAACGAGCCACTCGATATAGATGCGGGAAATCTGCAGCAAAAGAAGATTGACCCCATCCAAACATCCTCTCAAAACCAAACAATTTCTCCATTGCCCGCCTTTACAAAAGGATGTCGAGACCAACATGTGAAAATTTGAGAAATTGACTTCCAAGGAGCACGACAACTACCCCTCAAAACCACTCGTGAACCCCTACCGTTGTCTTGAGTCGCATATTTGCTTCTTATAACCGAATGTCATAGTGAATCAGTCTCAAGTGGAAATCTCTATAACCACTTGCCAAGAAAGGCCAAGTTCCTAGCCACAATCCCGTAGGTAACGACCAAGGTTCTAAAAAGCATCTGTGGTCACCGTAACGGTGGCGGTGGCGGTGGCGCGGTTGCGGTTGCGGTTGCGTTGCAGTTGCGGTAGCGTAACCGTTGCAGTAACCAGAACTGTGAATTTTTTTATTTTTCGCCCAATTTGAAAAAACTTGCCGATACGCATATTTTTTTTCCATGATCATATTTCTTGGATTTAAAATAAATACTGATCAATTTTTGTAAATTTTTAAGTATGATCCAATATATTTCATATTTTTAAATCACTATAAACAGAGTTTTTTATATTTTATTTTAATAATTAATGACTTTTGTTGGCATATTATATTCGCCGAAAGTCACTAGGGTCTGTAATCATTTTTATGCCTTGTAAACCCTAATCTTCATGTATAAATAAGGGGTGATATCTCATCATACCCTAAGCTGGTTACTTAAAGCTTCAACTTTATATTATACAAAAAATCAATCACTAACTATTATATATAAGATAAACAATGACAAAAGTAAGAGAATAAATAAGAGCCAAAATATATATATAAATATATACATATTTTAACCAAGCCAAATAGAAAATGACCACACTTATTATTATTATTATTATTATTATTATTATTATTATTATTTTCAAACAATATATAGATAGACACACACAAACAAAATGATTAAGTGATAGTAGCTGAATAAAATAGTATAGGTCTTATAGTTTCAACAAATCAATAACATGTTCTTCATCTTCCGTCTTCTTTCTCTCTATCTCTTGCTCCTCCATCTTCTCTCTTTATCTTCCCTCTTCTCTCTATCCCTTTTCTCACATTTTCAACTTTTTTTTGTGTGTTTTTCGAAAGAAGCAGTTCAGAATTGTTACGTAACGGTGTGTAACAAACCGTTACGGCACCATTACGACCGCTACAGCAGGCGCTATGGCCAACACACCTCTGAATCTCAATCACACCGCAAAAGCGGCCGTAACGAGTGGTGGTAACCACCACAACCATTACGTAATGGTAATACGTAACAGTTGCGACCACTTTTTAAAACCTTGGTAACGACACTAACTTCCAATTCACCAAGTGATCCTTTTTCCCCCCATCCTTACCTTCCCAAAGAAAATCCCGCATCCACCCTTCCAATCTGTTGCCAATCTTTTTCACCACTGGAGTCCAAAAAACTTCACTCCTAGGATTACCCCCCAATGGAAGACCAAATACTTAAACGAAAGTAACTCTATACCACATCCTTAAAGAGAGACTCTGTTTTGAAGTCGATCTTGCTGTATATTAATTCCCACCACACTACTTTTGCCCAAATTATCCTTGAGCCCCGAAAGAAGCCCAAAAATTCTCAAGATCGAATAAAGATTAATTAACTATCTGATTTTCATCCCCTGAAGAAAAAAATATAGTGTCATCCGCATATTGTAAATGAGTTACACTAACTCTATCCCTCCCCACCTCCAACCCCTCAAAAAGACCTGTTTCTTTAGCTTTATTGACCATCCTACCCAGTACATCAGCCACCAAGATAAAAAGAAAGGCAGAGAGTGGGTCCCCTTGTCAAAGCCCCCGCGAAGTCCTAAAGCACTCTCCTGGTTCACCATTAATTATGACTGACATATTGCAAGTCGACAAACAACCCCTAATCCAAGATCTCCACCGTCCAGCATATCCTTTCTTGTCCATTACAAAATCCAAAAACTGCCGATCCACATGGTCATATGCCTTTCCAAAATCTACCTTAAAAATAATTTCCTCCCTCCTTGAACTCCTATATTCCTTCACTACTTCATTTGCCACTAAGGCAACATCTAAAATTTGTCTCTTTTCACAAAAGCCCCCTTGCGCCCTAGACACCGTATCCCCTAAAGAGATCCTTAGTCATTTTGATAAAACCTTTACCAAAATCTTATGCAGTGACGTTACCAAACTAATAGACCTAAAATCTCCAATTCTAACAACATTTACTTTCTTAAGAATTAAACAGATGAATGTGGCATTTGAGCTCAAATTAACAACCCCCGACTCATGAAATTCTAAAAACAATCTCAACAAGTCCCCTTTCACCACCTCCCAGCAATCCTGAAAGACAACTATAGAAAAACTATCCGGACCTAGAGCTTTGTCTCTCTCACAATCAAAGACCGCCTCTCGAATTTTTGTTTCATCAAAAGGCCTTTCAAGCCATGTTGCAATTTCCAGATCAATGGTTCCCCATTCTAGTCCTTCAATCCCCGGTCTACTCACGTCTTCCTTCGAATAAAGTTGAGAATAAAAATCATAAATACCACTGACAATCTAATTCTCCCTGTCCTCCACAACCCCTGGGCTTACTTCCAATCTCTTGATGAACTTCTTCTTCATTTTCCCGTCTGCAACCTTGTGAAAAAATTTTGAACTAACATCCCCTTCCTTCAACCATTTGATCTTTGCTTTCTGAGCCCAAGAAACTTGCTCCCTAAAAGTCAACTCTTCCAATTTCAATCTAAACTCGGATGGTATTAAAACTTGAAATTCTGATGGTATCAATCAATAATTGATTAAAAGGAGACAAGTGCGTGTTAATTGGTGATGTATTCGTAAGCATGATGAGGAAATGGTCGACTACGTGCCTATCCATTGTGAGTTGGAAAGGGAGTTGTGGTCAATAATCATACTATCGTTTCGTGTTGCTTGGGTGTTTCCAGGTAAGGTGAACAAGCTTCTTTTCCTTGGAGTTGTGGTCGGGTGCATAGGTAGAGGAGAAAGGCATGAGGCTTGGTGCCATTGGTGCTTATGCAATTAGGGTGAGCAGAATAGAAATTTTTTGGTTTTATGGTGCGGAGAGACGTGAATAAATTAAGAGTAATTTTTGTCGTTGATGTATAGTTGGTTCTCAGTTAACCTATCCTTGAATCTGTTTTTGGACTTTGTAGAGAACTTTGAATAGGTTTTTGTTGTATAGCTGTATATGTCTTGTGTATAAGATCTAGGCACCCCTTTAGGGCCTTTTATTTAATAAAATTTTACTTTAAAAAAAGAAGAAAAAAAGAAAGATAGTCTAATGGCATTAGCAAAGAAATTAAAAAGAACACCTTTAAGGTGACGTCCTAATGGGAAAAGAGTGAGGAAAATGAGAGCTTGAAAATGTCCATCTAAGCACGTGCATAGCAAGAGAAGATGGTAGTTTCCGCTCCATGAGATTTTATTCAGTTTATTTAGATACATGAGATGGAGAGAATATGTTGCAGCAAGGATGAATGGTGCATTCCAGGACCAACAATTATCTTGTGAAAGAAAGAATGCAGTAATCAACAACAATTAATTAAGCTTCAATTTCCATAAATATATTCTGTGCAGATTATTGTAATAGTAAAGTCAACTAGCTTACTCATTCTCTAGAAACAGCTCTCCATATGTAATTCCATCTGCATATTGAATTTTCTTGAAATGATCGACTCCCTGCAAATTAGTTTGACCAAACTTCAGGCAAGCATATACGGGGAAAAGCTAAAAAAAGAAAAAACAAAGGAAAGAAAAAACAAAGGAAGATACAAAGTGACCTGAAGTAACATGAGGATACGTTCAAGACCATAAGTTATCTCAACGGATACAGGCATCAATTGCAGACTTCCAGCCTGGAGAAAGAGGGAAAAAGGGGGGAAACAAACAATGAAATAAATAACCGAAGGAAGAAACGAAGGAAAATAGATTAAGCAGAAGGATGTTTTACAAACTTAATTTTCAATCAGGTTATGCAATAAATTCATAATCTTTAAAAAGGAAGATCATATCACTTAGAGAAAACACCTGCTGGAAGTAGGTGAATTGTGTGATTTCCATCCCATCCATCCAAATTTCCCAGCCCAGTCCCCAGGCACCAAGTACCTACTAGCATTTCAAGTCAAGAAAAAATAACCAAGCTTGCAAACTGATGTTTGCAAATACAAAAATTTATATTGAATAAAAGACAAGGTAAGGAAAAGGGTACAGATTTATATAGCTTTATGGTGTTGTTGACCACTATGAGCCAGAGTTACATAACCAAACCAAAATGCTTGGATTGCACCCCAACGAAGTGGCATCAATCTATACTGCGTAACCTCAACTAGAAAGATTACACGCATCCAAAATAAGCTAAATCTTACCGGGCTTTCCCAGTTGTCCTCCACAAAACGTATATCGTGCTCATTAACATTAATACCTGTCAAGCATTAGGCTGCAAAATCTCAAACCTAGGAAATAAATCAGGGAAGAAATGCTATAAGAGGATCACTTCTGAAACTAGTACATGATCTCATTGATGGAAAAGAAGAAATTAATAAAGCAAACAACTCACAACTGATGATGACTACTCTATAATTTTTTAAGTGATATGACAATGAGTCTAGCCCGTCCTTGTTTTCCATTGTCAATTAAGAGAATTAATATTTGCCGTGGATCAATTCATTTCTACATAATCAAGTAAATGCTCAGCATATAAATCTATACCATGGCTAAACACCAACCTATTACTAATCCCATTTAACCAAGATGCAGGAATGATACACTGTTCATGATTTGTGGACCACCATGTTGAGGATGCTTCTTTTTTTTTCTTTTTTTTTTTTGGCTGAGAAAGTGTTTTCCTCCTCCAACTTATTTTTTTATTAATTTTTAGAGAAATTATATATAAGAGAGGCTTATGCTTCTTTGTATATGGCCTGTGTAGAAAAAACAAAAAAACTACACAGAATAACATGGCATAAAATGAGCACAAATCAAGAAGAGAAGCATTAACATTAACAACTGGAAAACCAGATATAGACAACTTTCAAAAATAAGTTTTGGTAATAGTAGTTGTAATACAAGCAGCAACAACTACAACAGAAATAATAGAAAAGGTCCAATCACTACCTAGGGCCGATAGGCTGCGGATGAATAGGTCTTGCGAATTTCCAGGATCAGGCTTCAATATCACCTGAGAAAACATCGAAAGATAAACACAAAGTCATATAAAAGACAATCAAAAGCCAAAATGATAATCAAAGATCAAAGAAAGCTCCATAAGAATATCATGATTGTATCATTTCAAGTGATTCAAAAGTGAGACCAAAGTTAACCTGAAATTGAGTATGCCGCTGAAGTCTATTTGGGTTTTCACCATAGCGACTGTCATCTGGCCGGATACTGGGCTCCACATACCTTCCACCAGAAATACCAAACAGTAGTCACATCAACCAAAATTAAAAGGCCATTGTGTACTCTCAGTAGTCGGAAACTAAAAAGAGTAAATATCGCAACAGCACATTAGTTCAACTGTAAACGAAGATCTCTAACAAAAGAAGAGTACTATAGCTAATATCAAAGATAAAACTCCCACACAACAATAAATAAGAGTTATACAGAATCCAGCAAAGATTACAAAGACAGTAATAAACCCAGGAAAACATTCTTAAGAAGGGAAGGTCCATCAAGTGAAGGCAAAAGTTGGGGCATCCTTCCATTCCATACAACCCCTTCACTAATGCATTAAATCTATGGATCTACAATTTCTTTTTCAATTTGTGTGGCAACATTTTACTATACAAATCAGCATGCATTATCAGCTAAAAAAGAACAAACTCAATTTTTTTAAATAATTGTAAGCTTCCAAGGTAAACAGATTAGACTTCGCACAAGTGGAAGATTTTCTTAGTCAAACCACAAGAGAAGATGGAAGTGACAGAGTGATTTGAACCGCATCAAAGCAATTAGTTCATAACTATTTTTCCATTGACGTGGGTCATGATATGCTTATTTTTATCACAGGAAGGAACTCCGATAAAAAGGCCATGTTACCTTGAATACCTTTAATGGATTACCAAGTAGTTGGCCCCCACAGCAGTCTCATCTAACTTCTTTGACATTAAGGGTTAGTTTGGCATGTTTGAAAAAAGTCAAAAAGTCACTATCCCATTTAAGTCACATCATCTTATTTAAGTCACATCACCTCTCTAACACATCACTTCAAACCCAACCCAAACCCAACTCATATTTCATAAAATGTCAAAAAGTGCACTTATTTAGATCATCCCAAACAACCCCTACATACTTGCTACTACAGATGGAAATGTTTATCGATAGTATGCAACTAGAGACGATCATTACAAGCTTATTATTGAGTCAATTGGTATACACTAATAATCATAAGACCATTTTTTCTTAAGCAGATGCATGGAAAGAGCACATGGCTTGTATAAGACACATCGGTGGACTTGACTAAAATATTACGAACAAGCATACATCAGGATAGTACAGAAGGGAAGGGCCCAATAGAAGGTGAAGAATTTCTTAAATTACCAACTCACATGTGTGTGTTTGAGCATTTTATGGTATCACAAACAACAAAAGCTTGTCATTAGAAAGAAAAGATCAATAACCACACACGCACATAAAGAGAATGAACAACAACATTTAAACCACAAATAACTCATGAGACTAGATCAGTATAAGAGTAAAAATAAAATGAAAACAATGCAAACATGTCTCCTTCAGAAAAACATGTTAGGAAAAAAAATGTGTGAATTACTTCTGGAGACTCTTTGACTCATATACGCTATTGAGTTAACATATGTATTATTCTGCAAAAAAGGACAATGGTCATCTCAACTCCCCTAAGCTACAATATGAAAGTATTTTTTGACTGGAAAAAATATCCATGGCATACAGAAAGCCAAATGGTGGTCCCACTTTAAAGGTAATTATCAGACCAAACTTTCATTATTCCCCCCTAACAGCCCTTCAATTTCTTTCCCAACAAAGAGATTCAAAGAAGTTAAATGGTAAATTCAAGTGGTCAAAAGTTACCGCACAAATCACTAATTTCCCTAACATCTTTTTACCGCATTTTTCCCCTATATCTCTCTCTCTTCTCATCTTATCTTTTAATTCTATCTGGGGATCATCACACACAACATCCATGTACCATTTTCTACAATATATTATTGGGAGATTATTTAGAAGGGAGGGAGTGCCAATTAAATTATTGCATAATACACCACTCATTACACAATGAAGAAACAATCCCACAATTCATTTTTCTACAATTTAACAAAGAAATTATACAAGAATATCTATCATTAATATTGTTGACTGGACTATGAACCATTCATACAAGAAAGAAAAACATCACAGGAAGTCATACAGCAATTTAATAAACCATCATGTAATATACCAAACCAAACCAAACCAAATTAAGCCTTGTGTCCCGATCAAGTGGATTAGTAACATAAACAATGAATGATGGATAGATTTAACTTGTTCAAATATATTGAAATACATACATACATACATACATACATAAATACATACAAATAGCGTGTGTGTGTGTGTGTGAGTAACATGAATATTTATTATTGATTGGTTTACATCTAAGCAAAGGTACAGTACACAAGCATCAGTATGTAGATTTAGATCAGCATAAATTTCAATACTAGATGAAAATATAAATTAAAGAATATAGCGCAATGTCACCAAATAAATGAAAAAAGAAAAGCAACGACAGTGATTCCCCACCCAAGACACAAGTACAATTGTCATGTTTCTAAGGGCAACCACTCTGATCAATATTGAATTTGCATTGTGACTGTGTCAGTTCCAAAATTTAACATGTCTTCAAATACCACTAGCATAATCATCACTACTTACACTACAATTTCCATTTAATTCAATCCGTGCTTCTTGTGATCTGAATCAAAAATTTTGACATTGATATAAAAATTCATTTAAAGTGTATTCTGATGTTCCCAGCATAACCAATGTCATCAATATCTAGAAAGCATGAACAGCTACAAAGGCCAGACATACTTTTTTATAGGAACAAAATAAAAACATACTTACGCAACATTCCATGGTTCTGGACCAAGTACCCTTAAGAAAGTTAGAGGATTCATAGTCCCAGCTCCAACCTGGACAACACAGTCAATGCCCAACTAAATCAGAAAATATATGACAAGAAGCTGGATTTGCAAAATGCAAATATGTTTCATCCATTCTCAATACAGCTAAAGACATATCCCAGTGTGTGCCTGTGCTCGCATCCTTAAACCTTTTTCTTTGACCATTAATTAAAATGTTAATCACAATAAACCGGTATACTGGAAGACATCACTCCAGCAAAAGCAAGGACATGACCCACAGTTAATGCCATGATATTTCACAATTTGGTTGCAATAAATAATAACAGTAAAAGGAAAGGAAATGCAAGTGTAGACAAAAGTCTGAGAAAAATAAGCTAATATTGTTGATTACCTCAGTGTTGCTGCACTGCATTATGGCACATCCCACAGAAGCCCAATATTCCTACAGTATTTAAAAAGATAATAAAGAAGAGGGGGAAAAAATCATAAAATGGTAAGGCATGGAGGAGAAATACCATTGCTCAAATTCTAAACCCAAATCACAAACTTCTCTCAAAAAATATATTTCTCTAAAACACTGAAAAACTGGAGCAAAGGACACTATAAACCAGATCCACTGGTTCCACTTCAAAAAATCCGAACCCTATTTGACAAGAACCGAAACAAGTCAAACAACAATCAACAAATTGGGCTTATACATAATGCCAGTGATTTTCCACACATTTGGAAGCCCATTTCAAACAAGTCAAACACTTCAGAGAAAAAAGGGGAAAACCAGCCAGACCTGTAGATGGGGATGGCAATGGGTCGGGTTTTTTCGGGTGTCGCAAGCGAATTCTTGATTTTAAACTCAACTATTTTGGTGATACAATTTCATACTTTATTCCAATCCTGACAATCCTTTAGTAGTTTGGATAGAGAGCCTATAATTTACGCTACCTACCCTATCAATGTTCTCCCAAACATTTGATTTTAAAATAGGGCTCCAAATACATTTGAGTCGGGCCATATACAATTGGTTTGGGTAATTTTGCCACCCCTACCTGCAGACACCAAATAGCTTGTTGGAAAGTGAGAACCAAGGTGGCTTTCTTAGTGGGCCCTGGGTCCGTGGATGCATGCTGGGAATTCACAGAGGTGGGTGGTTGCATAGTGGTGACTCTGGTTGTGTTGTATGTGCAGTGAGAGGTGGAATGTGAAGAAAAAGAAAAATATATGTTTCATAAATTGACCAAATTATGTGATAAGAGCCAAATTATCCCTCCTTCCTTTGTTAAATAAACGGAACTCGACCCATGATTAGGATTGATATCAATTTAAAATAGAAAAATTAAGAACTCATTCAATCCTTAAACCCTCTTTATCTAATTTCCCCAAAAAAAGGAAAACCTTCAACTTCTTTTACTTCACTTTCCAACATTTTCTCAGCAAACAAAAGGCATCATCAAAATCTAAAAGTGGGTAGTTCATAACATCAAACAAACACACAAACACAATGGTGGGTTTCACTTGATTCCACGTCTCAACTCTCTCTCTCTCTCTCTCTCTGTCACACACACACACGCACACATCAAAACACTTCAAATTCGCAAATATAGAACACAATGAAGAATGAAGCATACCTGGAGACGCTGAATGGCTTGTTGGAAAGTGGGAATTGATGAGCGTTTTTTGGTTTGTTCTGGATCAGGGTATGTGGAGGAATGGTGGGGATTCGCAGAGGTAGTGATTGCAGAGACTGTGCTCTTCGCGAAATAGCGTTTGCGAACAAGGAGACTGTTGGGTCGTCTTGTGAAGAGGAAGGAGAGGTGGGTTTTATGGGGTTTAAGGAGAGAAGTGAGTAAGGGAAGAGTGAGAATCGCCATTAGTGTGAAAGGCGCAGAGACGAAGAGAAAAGACCGTTGGGTTGGAGCTATCCGAAGTGGCAAAGACTAGGGTGAGAGAGAGAGTTCACTTCGTTGGATCTTTGGGCAAATTACATGTTTAACCACAAATATTTACTTAATTTTATTTTGATCCCTCGTCTTCTACTTTTTAACATTGTAAACCTTAGACTTACGATCCCCACAACCAATAACAATATAATAATAATAATAAGGGAAACTTGCATGTAAATCTTGCTAAGTAGAATTATTGTCTAAGAAGTCTTACAATAATTAATGATATTTTTCATCATACATTATTAAAAAATGTCACTAATAGTTAATTTTTACCATAATTTAAAATTTTTGTCACAAAAAATGTCACTAATTATAAATTTTAACGACATTTTAAAAAATTAATCACAAAAAAGTCACTAACTGTCAATTTTAGTGACATGTAAAAAGTCGTCACAAAAAATTATTTTTAGCAACGATTGTACTAATACTTATTTTTAATAGTACTTGATGAAAATTAAATCCAACTATTGTAACTTATTGATAATTTATCCTAATAGTAATAATAATAATAATAACAAATAAATATACCTGTGATCCCCCAATTCAATTTCATCTTTCAATATCAATCACTTTGCTTAGTTTTTGTTAGGGATGCTCGCGGATTGATTTTGTGCGGTTTGGAGAAAAGTCAAACCGCAGCCACCCGCAGTGCAGTTTGCGGTTTGTGCAGATAGGGTTTGCAAATGTACGGGCGGTTTTTGAATTTTTTTCTTTAAAAATTAATTTTTGAGTTTTGTTTTCCTATTTTGTAAATATTTATTTCGGTGTCATTTTCTTCTAATTTTCTAAAATGCTCCAACATTAATAATAATGAATTAAAACTTATAAAATTAAAAACACAACAAAATCAATTCTTAATAGGGGTGGGCATAGGGTTATCTGACCCACCCTACCCTACCCTACCCGCAGACTTTTAGGCGGTTTCGCAAACACGTTAGGGACGGGTGCAGTTTAGATTATGACTGAATTTCGGGTTGCGGACCGCACCCGCCCAACCTGCTCGCATACACAGTTTTTTTTTTTTTATATGTAAAAAATGAACCGTTGATTTTCATCTTTATTCTACAAACAAAAGTAAAAAACAAAACCCTAACAATTCATTCTCATCTCATCTCACACATTTGCGCAGCTAGAGCCTGGAGGAGAGAGTTGAGCTCCTTCTCTCATCTCATAGCAGTCTCTCTCTCTCTCGTTTTTCATCGCCGATCGATCTCTGCTTTCTCATCGCAACTCTGTCCGCAGCTTCACTTCGAATCTCACCCTCTCGTGCTTCACAAGATCAACTCTGCTCAGGTAAGACTCGGTCTCTGTTTTTTTTTTTTTCTAAATTTGTTGATGTCTATCTGCTCATCCTTAACTTTGCTTTCTCATCGCCGATCGATCCCTGCTTTCTCATCGCAACTCTGTGCACAGCTTCACTTCAAATCTCACTCTCTCGTGCTTCGCAAGATCGACTCTGCTCAGGTAAGACTCAGTCTTTTTTTTTTTTTTTTTGAATTTGTTGATGTTGAATCTGTTTTTTTGAATCTGTTTTTTTGCTTTACTTCGACTCTGCTTCACTTCGAATTTTTTTTTTTTCTTCACTTTAAATTTTTTTTTTTTTTTTTTTTTTTGAATTCGTTAATGTTGAATCTGTTTTTTTTATTCACAAGTAAGCTTCACTTGGACTCTACTTCACTTTCGAATCTGTTTTTTTGAATTTGTTGAATTTGTTGTTTTTGAATCTGCTCACAGCCTCATAGGTAAGACTATTTGTAATTAAATATGTTTATGTTGAATTCGTAATTAGATCTGTTTATGTTGAATTAGATCTGTTTATTTTCTGAATGTTTTAGTTGGAGCCATATGTAATTAGATCTGTTTATAGATCTGTTTATGTTGGATATGTAATTAGATCTGTTTATATTGGACTTTGTAGCTTGCCCTGATGATCTAATTAGATCTGTTTTTTATTTGATATTTTGAGGAATCTGATAAGGCATATATGAGTTGCTTGAGGCATCCTCTTGTTTGACTCTGAATGTTTTAGTTGTTGGGTTTGATCTGGCAATTGAAAACTTGTCTTTTGTTGTATATCCTTTTCTTTTTTTCAAATGGGAAGAGATATTGTGTTGATGTCAATTATTAGGAACTTTATAAGGTTCTTTTTTTTATGGATCAAGCAGCTCTTTGGAGAAGGGTTCTTAGGGCTTGTTTGGTTTGATTTTCTGAAAAAATTTTGGGAAATTTTCTCTACAAACAAGTTTTCAAAAGTAATCAAACCAAACAAATTTTCCCAAAAAAATTTCTCAAAACTTGTAAACCAAACAAGTTTTCCAAACAAATCTCTCTCTCACACACATCAAATCAATCACTTTTTCCAAAACTCTATCTCAAAATAATTTTCCAAAACATCTTTTAAAAAAAACCAAATCAAACATGTTTTCGTACTTTTTATTTCTAAAACACATCTCTCAAACACAAACCAAACATACCCTTAATGTTTTGTTTGCAATAATGAGCTTTTTTTTTTTTTTTTTTGGTTAACGTCTTTGATATAAAGGAATTGGGGTGCTATTTTACTTTATTTGAATCCAGTTGTATGGTAATTTGTGAGTACCAGACATCAATGGCAAGACCATATTGTTAGTATTACGAAGTCTAATCCCAGTGGTTTTTCTTCTTAACTTATCAATAAAAAACAATAATAGCTGAATCTTTTGGAAGAAGTATCTGTGAATTCTCAAAATGTCACTGATGTTTTTGCATGCTTTTGGTATGAAAACCGTTAATACAATGCTACATAAGATTTAATAAGACAAGTGTAATTATTCTGCTTCTTTGATGGTATCCTCATCAAGGTATCTTTTCATTTTGATTTTGTGTCTTGCTCTGCTTCTTTGACTGCATGTCATCTTTAAAATGTAAATATAAAATGGTAAAGCATAAAGGGACACCCAAGAGAGCGAGTGGAACTTTGGAAATTTTTATTTTGTGATTTACCTGTGTTTGCTTCTGAACTGTGATAGATTATACTTCCCATACATTTCAGTTGTATGTAAGATGGCAAAGGCCAACTTCGCATTACAGTCAAAAAAAGAAAAGGATATACAACAAAAGACAAGTTTTGTTTGAGAATTTTTTTATTTTTATTTTTATATGTATTATTCATTTTCTAATGTAAGTTTTATTAATCTTCTCTTGTTGACTTCTAATTAGGTACTTTGGAGTCAAGCACATCTTCAACTTCAACCTATAATGTTGATGCTATAATTGATGTCTAATATCCATTTGGTCATTGGTAATTTTTTCATATACTCGGCACATTTTCTTACTATATTGAGATGCAATATATGGACATTTGTTTATCTTTTCATTTCTTACTATAATTGAAGATTAAAGTTTATATTTTTTCAGTTTGTTTTTGTGCAGGGTTCATCAACCAAATGCATGGAATTAGAATTGGAATTGGAATTGGAATTGGAATTTGTGAAAGTTGAATTGGATGTGATTTATGAAGATAAAGTTTGATATCTTAGAAATGTTTTAATTTTATTTCATGGGTTTGTATTGAATGAAGTTTGACAACAATTTTTTTTTTTTATTTGTGTTTTGGTTTTGGATGAATGTAAGTTAATGAATTTTTATTTTTTTTGCATTTTGGATGAATGTAAGTTAATGAAGAATTATTTTTTTTTTTAAGGGGGTTAGGAATGATGAATGTTGAATTTTCAATGTAGGATTTTTTTATTTGGGTTATGAATGATGAATGTAGGATGAATGCAAGTTAATGATGAATGTAGATTTTATTTAGGTTACGAATTGAATTTGTTGTGTTTTTTATGTTATAAGTTTTTTATAAGTTTTAATTCATTAATTATTAATGTTGGAGCATTTTAGAAAATATGAGGAAAAAGATCCAAAATAAAGATTGACAAAATAGGAGAAAAAAAAGGTTTAAAAATAAATTTTTGAAAAAAAAGTTCAATCCACAAACCGCCCGCAACCGCTTGCACATTCGCGAACCCTATCCGCACAAATCGCAAATCGCATTGCGGGCGGTTGCGGGTTGACTTTTTCCCAAACTGCATAGATGCGACCGGGTCCAAATCAAACCGCAAACCGTCCCAAACCGAACTGCGGACACCCCTAATTCCTAACACAAACAAATTATTCAAAATTCTAAAATCATTCAAAATCCTAATCATTCAAAATTAATCTACTACCCGACTGTCACGACCCAAACCTGCCCTTAAGGGTGTAGCATCGTAACCGGCCAGTAATCCGTGATTACCAAAGGCCTGCTTAACAGTATTGACAATAATACAATATAAAAGGGGATTGACAGAAACCAATCAATAATAATATGATGTCCAATGCGTTGTGGGAACCTGAAAGGAAATAAACTTTCATGCACATAGCCGTATTCACAACCACTTATACCAAAAATACATATGTAAGCCATTATGCAAGTTAGGGACATAATTCCATCATCAAAAACTGTATAAACAAGAGTCTTAAACATTTTTTACATTAGAAAAGACAAAATGGCGAATTTGAATCACCTAAAAAGCCTTGACTTGTGCAAGTTCTAAACCTCGTTATGAGGTATAACAGTTGGCTTGACAAAACGTGAGCTTGGGTTAACACCTTTAGCTTTGATCCGATGCCTGGCCACCTATATATATATACAATAAACTGTGAGCTAAAGCCCAGTGAATAACGAATGTGTAAAGGGGTTAAGGATGAATGTCCTTTTAGTATTTAAAACAGTCAATTGCATCTGTAGATCAGTTATTCAATCAATGTCTTATATTTCATGTCATATCATTCATTTAGAAATCATAGCAGTCATACGTGGTACATTCAATAGCAGAACAGTACAGTAAGTCTTAATAGACCAAACAGTAAGTTGATGGCCATCAATACAGTAGCAGTAGTTCCAAAAATAAGAACTGACAGAGATCTCTGTAACAGTAATAGTAACAGTAACAGTAACAGTCAGTTGCTATGGATGCCACGAGTATAGTTCATAAAATAGAACAAACATTCATCCAATAAACAATGTCATTTCAGAAAACAGAACAGTCAATTGTTCAGAAAATAATTATAATTGAACATAGTTTTATAACATTGTTACTCACAGATAATAGGGTTGTAAGCAGGCTATTCAGCTTTCTTGAGGTGCGTAACCTACACAGTTACAAAACGAACGTATACTAAATTACACACCCGGAGTTGATAACTTAGTCCTCTCTACTTGTTTTGGTGTGGTTCTACTTCATTATCCTCATTATAATGTCTTAATCATTGCCTAGGAATGCCTAGGATGGAAAGATGATGCAAAAATATACTTGAAAATATTTTTTTTTAGATTATTTCTTCTACTCCTTTTTGGAATTCCTCTCTAGATAATCCTCATTTCATTAATTTCGTATTTAAAGTCATGGGGAGATTATCAAGAGAAACCATTTTTAGGTTTTGGTAGTTTTCGATCGATATTTTTTATACAGATCTATTGGTAATAAGGATACTTATTGTTTTGTATCCTATTTATTTTTTCATTTGAACTTTTTTGTACACGAGATTCTTGTACACTGAATTTGTCAATGATAGCCTCATCTTTGTTTTTTTATTCTTTCTAGGTTACTTATAGAATTGGATCTAGTAAAAAGAATTGATTTTCGTCTAGGTTATTTAGATAAACATCTTTATTTTCTCAAATTGTTAAATTTTTGACATTTTTTCGATCTGGAGTTTCTTCAAAAACCCATTTCTTAGGCCATGATAATTGTTTTACATTAACCTTTATGGATTGAAATTTTATTTTATGAATTTTTTTTCTATTTTTTGACAAATTTTTTCTTTTTAATCAATGATTTGGATTTCTTATCACAACCATAATTTTCTACTATACCTTCTGTTTTTAAACATCAATTATAATCCATATATGTTTTTTTCCATATTTTTTATAGCTTGTCATTTTGCACAATATATATATTTTATAACTTCTTGCACAAAAGCTATTCTTCCATCTAAATAATTATAGATTTGATTTTTTTCCGATCGCCTTTCAAACTCATTTTGAGATAGTTCATCCTATGGTTTAAAAAGTCTGACTATAAATTATTTTTGCCAATGAATATTACTTTTAGGTCTAATTTATAGAACTATTTTTTATATTCATAACCATAATTTTCAAAATAGCATATATCATATATTCCTATCTTAATTGGATTTGTGATTGCTAAGGGATGTTCCACAAAATTCTCGTTTAAGGTTGTCTACCATAAACATGACACTTTCTTTAGTAGTAGATAAAGCTAACCATTGAGCTCTTATGTGATCATTATCTGATAAAGTATCCTTAAATTTTATAGCTTGACCTCTCAGAATAACTTTTACAAAAGCATTTAGGCCACTGGTGTCTATAGTTTGTCTCGCTATAATAATTCTTGCTAGTTGAACCCAATTATCTATAACATCTTCTGTATTAGTTACATAGTCGAGATCAAGATATATTCCATATTTAGTAACAACACACATTTTTTGCAACTTTAAGAATAAAGTCTTGTTTATATGAGTTTTTAATGATAATTTTTTTCCTAATCTCCGAAGATTTTTCTTCATTATCTCCAAAGATATTCATAAAATCGAGATTTTCCAAAAAATTGAAATTTCCAAATGTTTTGTTTATTTCGGATATTTTAACTTTTCTTTCTGATTGATAGCGTTGTTCTTTTAATTCCGTTGGATCAATAGAATCGCTTATTGGTTTTTTAAGCGATTTTTCTCTTTCTTAATTATCCATATATATATTTTTGAAGATCTTCTGAGAATATTCATTTTATATAATTTTTTGGTACGAATATACTATTACCATCCTGGTTTTTTCATATTTTACAACTTTTGCAGTTTATTCAATAACCATAAAAGGAGTTATGAATCTTTTAAACTTTTTGATTTTTAAAAGAAATTCCTTTTATTTCTATTAACTCTTTAGATAATTGGGAAAATTATTTATAAGTCCCATTAGAAGAACTTATTTAATGTGTAGTCCTGTATAATTTCTTAAAAAGTTTTAAGTCCTATTTAGATAGAAATGTGTTCCACAATGTCTTATGAGTTGTGAATAAATGGTATTAATATACTATTACCCTTTATACGTTTCTATAAAATGTATCATTCAGCATATTACGTATTTGGAGACTTTTAGGAGAATGGATTGTACAGGTTGCTTCCGTAGGCATGAATTTCGCATTGATCATGGATTCTGGTGGATTGGATTTTACCAAAAAAATTGAAAATTACTTCACAAAAGAAATCTTTTTGTCATTGAATAATGTGACCATATAAACAAGAATGTGCTACGTGAAGGTTGACATATAACACACTACGAACATGAATGTGACACCATGAAATGGGGACAATACACAAATTGACATATATGAATAATGTCAAACATGACATAACACAACGTGTAGGATAACGAGACGCATGCCGCTTTTTCGAACAATGTGAATACATAAATGAGAATGTAAATTGAAAATATTGACGTGCGGCACACCAGTCATGACGAATGTGGCAGCACATATAATGGGATATGTAATACTTTGAAAATGTGACAAACTGAAATACAATGTGACATATGCCATTTGAAACGTGAACCAAATCTGTCCAACATAAAAACACAACCTGGAGTCGTGTTAGTTGTATTTTTCGGCTCCTTGTGACAAATAACAAACACTTTCACAAATTCATATTCACATTTTGCATACTACATCTGGGAATTCAAATTTGGTAAGAATGTGACAACATCGACACGTAACGTGAATGTCACAGCTAACAACTTAGACGACCTAGACAATATATTAACGATTACCATGTGCATTACAAAAAGAAACCCACATATTGTACGACACTCTGCAAATGTCAGCTCATCATTTCTCAATCATATTAACATTCCTATTGACATTACTAATTGATAAATGTTGCCATATTATACCAAACAAGTGCAAACAAATATTTATGACTGAACCATTTTAACATATTCCCACAAAAAATGTACGAATCGGAAACCGTATTGACAATGCTACCCAAAATAGCCAAAAACATGATAACAACAAAAAATGTTTAACGTCAAACGTAATGTGCCATTCAAATACTAACTACTCGTGAACTTAAAAAAATAAAAAAATAAAAAAAACACGATGTGTCCCATTTGTCACCATTAGAAGATTGTTCTGTATGTCAATTGTTGTCAACAAATGACCTTCTTGGGTCGTTCACAAATGACTTCACCATCCCAGCTCGCATCGTTTTACAACTTTCCCCTCCCCTTGACTTCTCCATGTCAAGATGATGCATGAGTTGCTTGATAATGAAACATATTATAATTCCACAATCAGCCCTATCAGGAAAATTTAAGACATTAGTAAAAACGTTAAAACGCATCATATGCAATATTTGGAAACATCAATGAAATTCATTGCAAACAAACATAATTCACACATATGAATCTGTTTTTTGTTGCGGACAATCATCGACCACTAAAAGTTCCTTCACCAAATCTTGCATTTCAACTGCGCCAACCTTAAGTGTACGCCTTATGTAATTCTCAAAGTATCCATTCTACATTATTGTCAAATTTATACTACC